AATTAAAAAAAATATTTAGCGCTTAAAATCGTTGAAAAACTACAATTTTGTAAGAGTAAACTACCCTTCCCGAGAGGGTGAGAAGTTCAGTGGTGGTGGCAGCAAGTGCGGCCAACAGTCCTTAAGCTATGTGTAAAATATTGTCAATTAAAAAAAATATTTAGCGCTTAAAATTGTTGAAAAACTAAAATTTTGTAAGAGTAAACTACCCTTTTCGAAAGGGTGAGGGGTTGAACTTTAGTGGCAGCAAATGCGGCTACCAAAGTTTAATAAGATTACGTAGAATGTCTGAGTTTTATTCTCTATATTAAAAATTACAACCTGTTCAATTATTTGGTCAGCAAAATAGGCAGACCCAGAAATTACTCCCTAGGATTTAGGGATCTTCGTGAATAGGTTGGCAGTGACTATGAATCTGTTGTGAACGGATCACAATTTTTAATACGTTCGGCGAGGTGTCAAATGTCAGATTAATAACTTTCAATACGATGGTTCGTTCACAATCAAACTTTCATAGATGTTAATGACAGCCAAAATTCCACTTTGGATAAAATTTCGACTTTCCAACCTAAATGAGCAAGTGGTGATTGTTTATTCGTTGTTTACGTTATTTCCTGTTTGCGTATATTGTAGAGGAATAAAGCATAAGAATAACTTGTTCTTATTATCTAAAAAAAAAAATAATAAGCAAAAAAGGTAGCACATATAAATGAATTATTTGAAAACTTACGGTTAGACCAAACTTATAATCCAGAGTAATCCCTGCGAAACTGATTGTTAGTGGTTCCAATGTATTCGTCATAAAAGTTAACAAAACTCCTCTGTTACTTTTATTGTATAAATACCAAGGAGAAGCAGCTAATGTCTCAAACATTTGACTGGTCTGAAAAGTTAATGAAGTTATTGTTTGAGTATGTTTATTTTGTGTTATGATTATTTACTTCATCGCTTAGTCTTTGTGACGCTTTTAGAAAGGTGTAAACAATAAGAATGTTACAACCGACGACCACAGCTAGACGTATCTTGAGAATGTTGCTTGAGTCTTCAAAGCTCTACAACAGCACATTAAAATGCTTTCAGTCTTGTGACTTTAAAATTGAGTTGATATAACTTACATAGAGGACGAAAAATGAGACGAAAATAGAACTCAGTACTCCTAAGAAGACGAACACTGGCATTGCTTGAAATACATATTTAACAAATACTTTGGTCCACCTGTTTCAAGAAGAAAATAGAATTAATAATAATCTAGCATTTACGTCTCGTCAGACCATTACCATTTTTTCTTTCTACCTAACGATGATTATTATATAGCATAAATAAAACTATGTGTGAAAAATACAGGGTGTTCGGTCCAAGTCGTCCCGGCTGATAACACCTAAACTTACCTCTTTTTTTCCAAAAGTAAATATTTAAGTAATAATATTTATTCTTATCTTTTTTAGTAAATGTATCAAATTATTTTAGCACATCCGGTGTTGCCGGAAATGCCACCAAATTTAGTTTTTCAAATGGAACGCCTATGTTTTTTTCCTCGAAACAATAATAATTGACATGAAAGATACGGTAAACCACTATTTATTACATTTTGTGTAACACAATGCAATCAGAAAACATCTTAAATTTTAGAATTTTAGAAGGAAATTGGTCGCGTAGCCTGACTTTTAATTTTAAAAGAAAGGTGTGAATAAAAAAATGCTTGGATGCAGTTTAATTGTTGATTAGACAAATCTAATTTGTCATTTGATGAGCGAGTTCTCTTATGGAAACTCTTGGATTTTCTTCGACTGATAACAGAACATTCAGATTTCCATTTTCTTGTTCTTCACTAAGAACCGTAGGTTTTTTAGTTTTGAGAAGCGAACCTTGTTCGTCTCAGTTGTTTTTGAATTTGACTAGTTTTCCAACGATTTGGGTGAACTCTATTTGAATATTTTTCTCTAAACTGTCTTTCAGCTTCCGTTCTATTTTTATTGCACTTAAAAAACACTTCAAGCTGATCTACCAATTCGTCGTAATTAATATCATCCATTATTAAAGATCTCAACAAGATTTATTGACTAATTAGGCTTTGTCAAAATAACAATTAAACGGTATCCAAGCATATTGCTTTTTGCATTAATACCTTGACAAGTAAAATCCGCCTACGTTGCAAAATTTTGTTAATAAAATTCTAAAATTTAAATTGTTTTCTGAGTGCATTTTGTAAAGTAAAATGTAATAAATAGTGGTTTACCGTATTTTTCATGCCAATTATTATTGTTTCGAGCAAAAAAACATAGGTGTTCCATTTGAAAAACTAAATTTGGTAGCCAAAAAAATTTGATGCATTTACTAAGAAAGCCAGGAATGAATAGTATTATTTGAAAATTTAGTTTTTGAAAAAAAAATGTAAGTTTAGGTGTTATTGGCCGGCGACTTGGACCGAACAGCCTGTATATACAGGATGCGCCAAAACTCACGCCCCAGAGAAAATTTTCAAGTAAGGTAAGGTACCAGGAACATGAAAAAAATGTTTAAAAAATTCTATCTGTTAAAAAAATTAGACATTTGACATTTTTTTATATCTATTTAATGATACTGATGGTCTTGTATATGTTTTTTTACAATTATTTAGTAAAGGGACAAAAATTTTGCCAATAGAAGCCACAAATAACAATGAACAGAGTTACAATTTAGGATACAGCTTCCTTGTTTCCTGTTTTAATAGCATATAGCAAAAAAACCTGGAAAATCATTTTTCCAACAGAAATAAATAGAGTCAATGTGCAAACTTTAAACCCTCATAACTTCGAAATTTTTACAGACAATTTTTTTTAACATTTTTTCCATGTTCCTGGTATCTTACCTTATATGGAATTTTTCTTTGGGGCGAGAGTTCTGGCGCACCTGTATGTACAACAAATAATTGATGAAAAATAATGGGCTATCAAATGTGATCTTTTCATAACAATGAAAGTTTATGAAATTTTTTTGTTTGTGTATTTTTTTAGGTTTTCATAGATTTGTACAAGTTAGTTATTATTGTTTTTTAGACATTATCTTCACCTTTTCATATTCACATCATGAGAAATGCACAAAGACAACCTTTTAAAAATATCTTCTTGATAAGATAAATTGTCAGGAGCCATTGCAGGATCCAAATCTTCATGTCCTTTAGGAATTGCCAATATTTTCTGATTGAGTAGCAATATTTGTAGATTTATTTGTAAACTAAAATACAACATCATAAATGGCAGACGAACGGACGCAAAGGCTGCTATTGGTTGACTGTAATAAAACATATTGTACGGAATGTACCACCAAGAACCAAAATATTCTTTATAAGCCCAAACGTTTAAAAACCATTCACTTTGATCTCCCCAAACCGGGAAGAAAATAACTCCCATTATACAAAACCAAAGGATGGTAAAATAATTAAGAACATCTCCTTGAAATATAAATTTCTGCATGGATTTTTGGAATTTGGAACTACAAATTTCAGGTGTCCAAAATAAAGTCTCGGCTTCTGATACTAAATTTGTGATATGTTTTTCGTAAATAAAGGTAAAAAACATTGCGGTTATTATCTACAACAATTGAACTCATTACTATTACATAGTGATTTTAAAAATAATCCATACATAACTAATTAGGGTTATCATGCATCCGTACCTCACCAGTGATTCTATGCTAAAATGGTGCAATAGATAATAAATATCGAGTAAGAAACTGCCAGAATACAGAGTAAAGTACACAAAGAAAAAAAATTTCGTAATTATGTGATAGCCGAAATCTATGAAAAGTCCTTTTATGTAATAGAAAGGAAAATTTCGAAGCGTTGCTTGATCCATTTTTATGTCTTCGATGTAACGGAAATGTTTTAGTCAGACGACTTTCTGTAATTACCTAACCTAATTAGTTTATAAGCAATTTATTTATTGATGTATTCTTCTGCTATAATGAAAGTACACTCTTTGTTAAAAAAATACTACACACTGAACATTAATAAAGTTTTTCTTATCAGTATCCACAGGTGGTGGGGAGGAGATTCAGTGACTTGACCTGACCTAACAGCATCATTTTATACTTCAAATAGCATTTATATGATGTAGAGTAACAACTAATAATCTTGTTTGCGTCAATTAAAACCGTATCTAGTTGATGATTGCAAACAACAAAATGAGAAAATATTCTTAATTCTTTTGAAAACTCAATCAGTTATACTTGATTTTGTTGCATAATAAATTTAATGAAGTTAAGAAAATTGTTGTGACTTTTGACGAGGAGAGTACAACATAAGACACATATTTGGCTAAATTACCTTTATTCCAGGCTTACAGACTTAATGTCGGATATAACGAGGATATGAATTCTATTATTAAATATTGATTAATGATACTTAATGTAACTACATTAGGTAATATAAATTTAATGATGAAACAACAGCAGTAATATCACAACAAATTGATTTATTACATTTTACAATAATTATAAAAAGATACCTGCATAATATCCTCCAATTGATTCGTAAAGCTAAAAAAGAATTTTATTCTTTGACACTATCAAAATTTACGGTTTTTCTCCCATGTAAGGAAGTTTTGACAACTGTTTGGCATTTCTCAATTCGAAACGTCAGATTAATGTTAACAGATTTAAAGCAATTGTAAGCCTTTTTGAGTCTAATTTAAAGAATAAAATGTTGTATTCAATTCGTTCCTCTGTAAATCGGTAAATAAAGCGTCCGATTTACACTCAAACTCGTCGAATAAATAACTATTTTCATAAATGACCCGACAAAAAAATTAAACTTTATTTCGTACTTTTTACCAGGGATCAGAGAGAGAAAGATTGGAAACTTGGCGACCCTAAGTTAGTGACCTACATGGCCTACTTCGTCTGTCTTCCGCTGCGCTCTATACGGCCGTAACATAACGAGCCAAAAGTCAATTCTCTTAACCTCAAAAATATCTTCGAAATCGTCCGGTAAGTACTGCCATCTACTTGGTTAACTGAAAACTTTTTAATTGATATTTTGACAGTCCTAAATTAGAAATTACCTGTACCTCATTCAAAATTTCTTCTTTTTAAATTAATTTGTTACTGAAACGTTTGTCGAAGACTGAAACGACCAACTTGGTCGGCCAAATTCGTGTTGAGGTAAAGTAACAGTCTTTTGGTGCTGGCAATCCTCTAGAACAAGTAGCTATTTCCATTCTAATTCTAATTTTTTTTTGGAAAACTAAGTCCGATAAAAGAGAGGGTTTATAGCAGCATAATAAGAAAGAAACTCGAATATGAATGTATATTCGAGAGCATTCCGTCTATTATAAATAAGCAGTAGGAACTTAGGTAAGTGTTTTTATTAATTTTTGCTTATAGAATTACCACAAAGTTCCGAAGTATTCTTTACCCATTCAGCACGAGCTGCTGTATCGCTAAGTATTTCAAATAAAGTATCTTTTTCTCCACAAACAAAACATTTCTTGCCGATTTTTGAACTTTTTAGAAGAATGATTGAAAATTTGACAAAAATTGTCAAATTTGAAATATCAATAGTCTTTAAGTTATCAGGTAGATGACGCTAGTTACCGGACGATTTTCGAGGTTAGTAAAAAATCAGTCACGGCAATTACTGCATTGTTAAATCCTGTTATAATAATAAATTGAATAATAGCGATATCGCTTTTTTATACTTCCCACAGATTCGTCATTGTAAATAGAAATTGTAAGTATTGTGAGCATCATTTACAGATATTCGAAATTTTAGAGCACGGAAATGGCTAGAAGCTGTAGATCGGAAAGATTTACTAGAAGTAAATTATACCAAACAAAATTTTGGGGTTTGTAGTGATAATTTTGCTCAAGAGCAGTTGGAAAGAAAATGGCTAAGATTTGTATTAATACGCGGATCTATACCAAACATAAGTTATATAAAAAATGTGTAAGATTTTTCACATACTGCCAAAGAGTACTTTCCATACTTATTGATTTCAGAACCAGGAGAGGAAACAAATGTTGAGAAGGCCATTGAAATTGATAATATTAATTCTGATACTAATTTCCCACTTATAATTTAAAATTATAAGTTTTAATTGAGATGATTAAAAACATAGAACACATTATTCTTATTGTCAATTTATGTAATGAAGATTCGACGAATTTGTTCTTTGGGCTAGCAGATTCGAAAATAGAATTAAAGTTTGAAAAAAAAATTATTCATTAATATTAAATAAGTTTGTTTGGACTAAAATGTGTATTTCTCACTAATAAATTCATTATAATAAAGAAATACAATTTAGTAACAAGCAAGACAACATTCTCCTCTGTGTTTTTGAATTTGGCGCGTTTTTATTGATTCAACTGATTACTGCGCCTCTGGTGAGTCAGGTGTTCATTAGATTTGAATTAGGGGTAGTTTTTTTACATAGGAAGCTTATGGCCGTTTCCGATCTTTTTCTCTCTGATCTGTGCTTTTTACTAAACCTTAAGCATTTAAAAATGTTTTTGCGTAAGGATCACATACCATTGAGCATTGGTGTCTCCGATTTTTCGAATTTTTTTTTCAGTGCGATCAAAAAGTCTATCTATCAAGCAAGTGCAGAAATTTGAAACGTGTGTCTGCAGAAGATAACATGTCACAATGACAAATAAGAAATGTTTTGTGACGTCTCATAGAATAATAATTTGCTTAGATCCATATTTTAATTTTTATAATTTTTTTTTGACATCTAACCAACATACGAGCTGCTATGCTATTCATAAATATGAAGCAATATTTGAACCTCAAAAATGACCCATAAAATGATGTTAATTTAAATAATAACTCGTGTCCTATCTCTACTGATAAGAATTTTACAGCCTTCGGAATGTGGGTATGGAAATCACATTTTTTTGTAGTAACTTTGAAACTATTTGACCAAATATTATAAAATTTGGAACATTTCCCTGTGACAACATACCCTTTAAACTGGTAATCACGAAAACCGGATACATCCAGTCAATTTCCGGTTCCAGCAGTTGCAGGTCACATTTTCTGTGTTTTTCCATTTTTTTGCTCTCTTAACACCAATTTTTTTATTGGCCAAATCGATAGAGTAATCAATTTTGATTAAAAAACGCATAACCTTTAATACCCCTAAAATGGACCGTTTCAAAGATATTTTAATTTAAACTGAGGACTGCACAACGCTGAAACCAAAAAGTAGGGATTTTGAATGGATGATATCTACGGTAACAAATGACCATGGTTTCACTAATCGCTGTCAGGCATCTGTCAACTTTGACATTGGACGATTATTAGACAATTAATCGAAAATATTTAATAAAAGAGTTTACCTCAGATTCCAAACATAACTTAGAATAAATCCAAATGGATCTCGTAGCATTTCATTCATGAAAAATTCACAAAAATTTATCGTCAAAGTTAACAGATGCCTGGCAGGGATTTATGTGACCATGGTCATTGGTTTCCGTGGATACCACTTATTCAAAATCCCTATTTTTTGATTTCAGCGTTGTGCAGTCCTCAGTTTAAATTAAAATATCTTTGAAACGGTCCATTTCAGGAGTATTAAAGGTTATGCGTTTTTTAATCGAAATTGATTAGTCTATCGATTTGGGCAATAAAAAAATGGTGTTAAGAGAGCAAAAAAATGGAAAAACACAGAAAATGTGACCTGCAACTGCTGTAACCGGAAATTGAGTGGATGTATCCGGTTTTCGTGATTACCAGTTCAAAGGGTATGTTGTCACAAGAAAATGTTCCAAATTTTATAATATTTGGTCAAATAGTTCCAAAGTTATTACACAAAAATCAAATTTCCATATTCACATTCCGAGGGCTGTAAAATTCTTATCAGTAGAGATAGGACACGAGTTATTATTTAAATTAACATCATTTTATAGGTCATTTTTGAGGTTCAAATATTGCTTCATATTTATGAATAACCCTGTATGTTTATAGGAAACTTTTACCTTAAAATTGAATATTCTATCACCTGGTTAAATTTGTAACAATAAAAATGGAACACCCTGTATAATTTTCTGATAAGATTTTACAAGATGTTTAAGTTTTAAAAATTAATAGTTATTTTCAAAAATGTTTGTATCGCTTGATTTTTTTAATTTTTTTTTACAAATGACTGTCGTCGACTTAACAAATATTAATCTTAATCAATCCGGTAATGGCCAAATAATGGAATCTATACTCTAGGAAGTGAAGAAAGGAAGGATTGAACTTGTAGCCCAGTCAAATTAGACAAATCGGTGGAAAAAAATCCTAGAGAGTTGGAATTTTTTAAAAATCTTTCTTTACACTTGGGTAGCCATATATCAAAAGTGCCCGATGGTGGGGGGCGAGCTTGAGGAGGGGGAGGGGGTTAAACTTGTCTTTTTTTGGTTTTTTGCTTATATCTCGGAAATTATCACAACTATAGGTTTTTATGTTCTTATCAAAATTAAAGCTTACAAAAATGGTCCTTTGCATTTTTGTTGTAGGGCTAACCGTAAGCGAGTTATAGAGCAGACAAAAAACATCATTTAAAAAAATGTTCTTTATCTGCATTTAAAACAGAATTAGTCTTGTAATTAAAAAAAAAACTGACAGTAAATTGAATTTACTGGGTCCATTAAAGGAAGGGGGAGTCACGAGGGTCTATAAATACAAACTCATCGTTTATGTAGTTTATGCAGAATTTTCTGTAGAAGTCTATTTCTGCATCAAAATTTCCTACAAAAATGGTCCTATTCATTTTTGTCGTAGGACTAACCGTAAGCTTCAAAAGTTTGGAGTCTACATAAAATTGCATTAAAAATCCTTTGAAACACATTTCATTAGTATATGGTAAGTATTTATATATGTAGAGCGTTCCCCAACTAAGCTGTTCTGCCTGAAAGGTGACTCGGGTGTAAACATTTAAACGGAGATATAAATAAAAATTTTGGATTAAAGAGAAAATCAATCTGTAAGGGGGTTAAATGGGGTGTAAATGTTTAAACAAAGGTATAAACATAAAATTCTTTAGAGGTGTAAAGGGGCACTAAAATCAGATTTTTCAAAAATTACTTTTTAAGGAAATAAAACGGAGTACACATTTAAAGGGATATAAAAACATTCAATTTAGAAAATATGATCCTTAGTGAGTGTAGAAGTGCACTTTTCAAATTTTAATGAAATAAAATAGAGTTTAAAATTTCAAATTTTCAGACTGCAGAAGTGCACTGAGACAACACTTTATGAAAATCAACATTTAATATTTATCCATAAAAGCCCATGCGAAGAACGAGACTAATATAACTGAATCCTATACATAACATAATTATCTAGCTTTATAGAGTACCTAAACCTATGGAATGGTTTTGTGAACGGGCTTTTTCCCATTTTATATCAGAAATACACGTGGACAAAGTCGCAGGCAAATGCTAGTTCAGCATATAAGGATGATTCGGAAGACTTTATAGACTCTCTAATGAAGTGTTGCACCCAATAAATTCAATTTGATTTCAGTTTTTTCAAATCACAAGATTAATTCTATTTTAAATGTGGATAAAGCACATTTTTTACATGATGTTTTTTGTCAGCCCTATAACTCGCTTACAGTTAGTCCTACAACAAAAATGCAAAAGACCATTTTTGTAGGAAATTTTATAGGCTTTAATTTTGAGAAGCAGGCAAAAACAGTTACGAGTAATAGTTTCCGAGATATAAGCAAAAAAACAAAAAAAGACACCTTTAGCCTCCTCCCCCTTCTCGAGCTCGCCACCCACCTTCGAGGACTTTTGATATGTGTCTACCCAATGAAATTCTCAAGAAATGAGTTTTCCGACGAAAACTTCGAAACTGCATCTGTGATCTACCTGTGGCTGGTGATTAACTCTTTGATCAAAGTTGAATTCTTTTACAGTCCGTTCGGGTTGCGCCACAAGAAGAATAAATTTATTTGAGGTAGATTCTTCAGTGTTATTTTGTGGAGCCAACCCTTTTGGGAAGATGAGGGATTTAAGCAGTCAGAATCCAAATATTCGAATTAAAAATAACAGTTTATTAATCAGATTAAAGTTTTGAAAATTATTATGAAATAAAATAAAATGATATAAAATAAAGAAAAGAAAATTAAAATTAAAAGGATAAACAGTTTACTATTCCGTTCATGTTAAGGTTTACGAGCACCGAAACGGGAAAAAATTATTTCATGAGTAATATGTATAAATTTTTACTCATTTTCAGAATTTGATTCAAAACTTTCAGATCACCAATCGTTTTCCGAATTTGATTCTCCGGAAAGTTATTGGAGGAATGTAATAAAATTTATTCGATGGCGTTCGTTTTTAGGAGTTTTTGTACAACCAAAATTATTAAATTCATGAAGATTTTTAACATGGTTAGTTTTTCTGTCTGCATACATTCACAAAATCTAATTATAGCTATTTTTCCTGTTGTGTTAGGGTCCAAATCCTTGCTTTCGGAAACTCATTTTTGTAAACAACTCCTCTTGAGATAAATCACAATTTTACATTAATTTATTCGAACAATTATTATTATTATTCAATGAACTCGTACGAGAGCTGGGCCAAGACTGACTCGTTGTCGTGTTAATTTCCTCAAAAGTAGCAGGATTCTCAAAACATTTTTTCGTAATAGTTCTGCTTTTCTAAAAAGCCTCTTTTGAAGGTAACGTCACAGAAATAATTCTTATATCAACCAATTCCATCTTCAACATTTTCTGTGCCCTTTACGTTGTACTTTTTATTATAAATTTAAAAATAATTGCACCTTCAGTAACGCAAGCGCCTTTATAACAAAACGGCTGACATCCTCAATATCGCAAAAACTATGCATCGCAGAGTATTTTAACCTGTTGCATCGTGTTCAGCGGATAATTTTACGTCTAACAAACCAGATGTCAAGCGTTCTTAAACTCAAAAAATTCTTGAGTTTTTAAACTTGACCCAATAACGTTTTGTGCACTTTTTTGAGTTTTTAACATCACTAGAAATTTAAAAAACGTTATATGGATCGTTTTAAAGTTAATTTTTTTTTTATTTTTGTCGAGATTTTGGTCGATTTTTGACACCCGGAGCGGTCTATTTATAATAACTCCGGACTTCTTGGTGATAACCGCTTATGTTTGGTACCATTGGAAAGAAAATTTAATTTTTTATCATATACAAAAAGATCAGTGTTCTGCGATAAATAGTTATCGAGAAAATTTCTGATATACTAATCAAAGAAAAAATGAATAAAATTATAAATTAAAATATTGCAAGTTTTAACAAAAATAAGTTTATATTTTTTTATCAATGTACAGGCGGTTCAAAAAATCGCGCACTTCCGTGACACTGTGTCATCGGGCGGTGCCCTAGACAACAAGAAAAATTAAAAAAAAATCTATCTCTAAAAATTCCGAAGTTTAAATCATCAGTATCATTAAATAGATATAAAAAAAATGTCAAATGTCAAAATAAACATTTTTTTCATGTTCCTGGTATCTTACCTTACTTGAAAATTTTCTCTGGGGCGCGAGTTCTGGCGCAACCTGTATAAATATTTTTTTTAGATATGAATTTAAATATACAGTCAAATTAAAAAAAGTGGTTGTCAATGTGATTTCAAAAATTAATAAATAATAAATAATTTACATTTTAGGAACAAAATTGATTTGATGACAAATTACCAAACTTGATGCCAAGTCATTTTCTTTTGTAAGTTTAAGTACGCTTTACACACGAATTATTAATTTTACGCCAAAATGTGACAAACACTTTTTTTTGAATTTGGCTGTATTTAAGGTTTTGAAGGTTGGCTACACCACAAGTTGACACTTGCCATATGTCAAATTAACCTAAAAAAAAGCAACAAACTCAAATCTTTAAAAACAGCGTTAAAAATGCCCGAACACGAAAATTTAACCGACGTTATTAAACTTATAAGTGATATTCGTCACGGGTTCGTACTATTCAACTTTCACATAACTTTATTTACAACATTGCAATTTCAGGAAAGTGTTCAATTCTTACGAAATCGCCATCAGAACCGAGCAACTTTTAGAAAAACTCATCTCGGAGGGGCACTGGAACAATGCACAGTCAGTTTACCAAAACCGAATCACTTCCATTTAAAATTATATCAATTTTAGAGAGTTGATGCAACAAATCAAAGACAAAATCAGACAAGTCTCCCAGTCTCTTCCTCTAGAAGCGACCGCTACTAACATAATGCGCCACATTTTGAAAGTAATCCGAGAGGAATTTGATTTGGGTTCAGAGAAAAAAGTAGAAGGCCAATCATTACATCAGATTGTAACAGGAGACCAAAGTGATGAACTTGACTATTCAGAATCTCACGGCAACTTGCGAAATCGGCTTTTAGACCATTTGACTGAATATAAAGTCGAGTTGGAGACAAGTACGGAAAATATCGCAGCTCAAGCTTTGGAACACATCCACACGAATGAAATTATTCTTACGGTTGGAATTTCAAATACTGTGGAGAAATTCCTCAAACATGCGGCCAAACAGCGGAAATTTCAAGTTATCGTCGTTGAGGCTGCACCCTTATACAGGGTGAGTCAATAATAATCATTTTGTGTCCTTCCCCCCTACATTCTAGGGATTAAAATAGTTGTTTATTCTTTTGATACATAAATAACAAATAACACAGGGCAACAAAAAAAAGTCATGTCGTGACAACTTGACAAATTTTATATCATGTTGTTCGTCTCAGTGAGACAAATCAAATGCACTAAAAAAATTTCAAAAATTCCACTCACTTTGAACAAAATAATTTTTTTCTAATTTAAATGAATTTAAAATACTTTAACTTTAAAAAATCATTACTCAATAACTATTAGGCCTATTTCCTTCAAATAAATGCCATTCTAAAGGGATGGACTTGCCCTTTAGAATGATATGCAACTTGAAATTGAATATTGGCAAACTTTTCTTCGAACAGTGTTCGAAGAAGTTCGAAGTAATCTAAGATAAACCCTTCGAGTAATTTTTTTTTCTTTGTCACCATCGTGTAGAGCATCTTTTTATTAGTAAGAATCCAAATTTTTAAAATAATATACCGAGTAGTTTTTAAGATATGATTTTTTGAAGTTAAGGTTTGCTGTTCAATTGCACCTTCTTGAAAACTACTCGGTATATTCTTTTGAAAATTTGGATTACAACTAATAAAGAGATGCTCTACACGATGGTAATGATGAAAAAAAATTACTTGTAGGGTTTTTCTTAGTTTATTTCGATTTACTTCGAACTTCTTCGAACACTGTTCGAAGAAAATTTTGCCAATATTCAATTTCAAATTGCATATCATCCTAAAGGGCAAGGCCATCCCTCAAGAATGGACTTTATTTGAAGGAAATCAGCCTAATAGTTATTGAGTAATGATTTTTTAAAGTTAAAATATTTTAAATTCATTTAAATTAGAAAAAAAATTATTAGTTCAAAGTGAGTGGACTTTGTGAATTTCTTTTTAGTGCATTTGATTTGTCTCTGTGAGATGAACAAAATGATATAAAATTTGTCAAGTTGTCACGACATGACTTTTTTTTGTCGTTCTGTGTAAGTAAGCAAACTGTAGGCTAGTCTTTAAACAACTCCACATTTTAACTGTCCCCTCATTATTTATTTATCATTGTTKACTCTACATTAAAAATAATATGACAAAATTTTTGTTAAATGGAGATTTACATACATATAATACTAGAAATAAAGACAAATTTTGTCAAAATGTGCTAGACTACAAAGAACTCAAACAGGCAGCCGATACTACTGCATCAGTTTTTTTAACGTACTGTCAGACGGTGTAAGGCGTCTGGATCCACATATATTTAAAAAAAAAGTTAAAGAAATGCTGGTGACTCACGCATTCTATAATTTTGATGAATATTTTGTTTGTACGAGTATGTCAAGAATAATTAATCTTGACTGTTTTTTTTTTGTGTCTTCTCTGTATTATTGTACTGTTCGGTAATATTTTTATATTTTACTGTATGCGACTTTATTTGTGATATTATATATTATTTGACTTGTGTATAACTTAATGTTTTTAAAACACCAAAATAAATGAATCTGAATCTGAAGTATGTATTGTTTCCAGGGCCATAAAATGGCAGCAAGTCTTGCCAACAGCAACATCCAAACGACAGTTATTCCCGATTCTGGTGTTTTCGCAATGATGTCTCGTGTGAACAAAGTGATAATTGGCACTCATAGTGTCATGGCCGATGGGGGGCTCCGGGCGGCGAGTGGGGTTCATGCCATTGCTTTGGCTGCTAAACACTACTCAGTCCCCGTTATGGTCCTCTCCCATATGTATAAATTGACTCCGACTTACGTCTGCTCGCACGAGAAAGACACCTTTAATATCTGTGCATCACCTGCTAATGTTATTCCTTATTCAACAGGACCGCTTTTGAATAAAATAAATGTTTATAATCCGATTTTTGACTACGTCCCGCCAGAACTGGTCACGCTTTTTATATCACATCAGTAAGTATTTGCTATTAGAAAATTTCTTTGATTTTTGTGCGACTTTTAAAAAATAACAATTCCTGGTTCTAATGTTCCGGGTGACTATAGTGGTTTGTAACAAGAAAATCTATACTCTTTTTCATATTAATGTGCATCAAGTAAGTTGTCGTAGTCTAAATGCATTAATGTAATTTAAAGACCGGTTCACACAAAAAGTGTCATTAATGTCGTTCAGAACAAATCTAATCACATTAACAATGACAAAATTTTTTATTTGTTTGTTGCTACCCTATGTTAAGGCGACGTATGTCGCATGGAATTTCGTATGTTAGCTAGATTAAATTATTTAATAAATTAATGTTTTCAAAAATTTTTCCAACATTAATATTGGAGCAGAAATCTAAAAATTGTTTTAAAGAAAATTGTCAAAATTAACAAAATAAATGTTTATGTAGTTATAAAATACGATTTGATTGACGACGTGTTTTATGGAATACACTTGTCTTGTCAATTTTAATATTATTTTGACAAATGCTTCATAATAATTTCTGAATTTAGTAAAATTTCTAATTTAATATTAAAATTAAAAACAACAGGAATTTTATAGTTTCTTAAAAATCTCGGACTATTAAATTTTCGCACCCTAATGGTCGCTCGAATTTTAAACTACGACTTTAATTTTAAATTCGAATTTAATTAGGGCTGAAATAAATATAAAATAAAAACAAAATCAAATTCATAAATGTGTAAAAACCCAAGCACCAGATTTCGCTCAGATTATTTCTTTTACTCAGTACCTGCAAACCAACCCAACAATTTTAGGGATTTTTTACAATCCCTATAATATCTCGTTTACTGTTTTTCGTACGTCGATTCTTTAATTTTTTCTACGTCAACAAGAAACCTCGCTTCTTCAAATTTACCGTTAGCTTTTGGGTAGAATCCCCAATTCTACCTAATTTTAATTATTTTTTGCTACCTGGACTACACATTTATTTGAAAAAATAATTTTTAGGTAAGATTAAGGTAAGAATTGTTTGAATTTTTGCATGGTTGCCAACTTAAAATGATGCACATTAATATGGAAACGAGTATAGACAACTCTGGATTATTGGTGACGACTAAGCTAGCTCCCGCCGTAAGTAAATAACAATTGCTTATAACAGTTTGACGTTTTAATTTGAGAATCAAGGGTGCCAAACTAAGATTTTAACGCCAACTTGAGGATATAAAAAGGACAATCATTTACAATCACCCGGTACCTTTTCAATTAATATTCATTTAAATATCTAAACTAGATTTCTGTATAGTATTTTAAAGAACAAGTTTTATAAGGGTTGATTTGGCGTACGAACCCCAAGTTAGAAAACGATCCGTAGACGAGTTTTCTATGGGATGAGTGCGCCAATGCCATTATAAAACGAGTATTTTATGCTATTCTTTCTAATTTGCGCCCCCTTTTTTCTTATTTTAATTAAAAAAATATATATTTTTGTCTATAGAATTTTTTAGTTGGTATCGGTTGGTAACACTCGGCGCCTACCAGATTTTTTGAATCATTTCTACCGTTTGTCATTAAAAATAAAATTTACAAATTATTAGTTATTAGTGTTACAACACAATAATAATAAATAAAATATGAGCCAACAGAATTTAGTTTGCACTCCGCCCGAAATTCGCGAAACAAGGCAAAATTTGTTACCTGACAAGTCAGAAGCGGCATACAAAAAATAAATAACCCTAAATTCATTAAAGTACAGTGTGCTTTTATAGATAGCCATAAACGACTCCTACTGAGAGATGTTAATAAATGTATTATAAACGCAAATTTAAAAAAATATTACGACGTTTAGTATTATAACAAAAGTAAGAAAAAGGTAAAAAATAAAATAAAACAATATAAATTGGACACTGAAAATTGTTTTGGACACATTTAAGTGAACCCCGGCATCAGCCAGTGTTACCAATTTCTTACATGCTTACAATTTTAGAGGCAATTTACATAAAGCGAATTAAGATTTAATTCAAAATTAAACCAACTTCAGTCTTGCATTAAATATTGGTTAAAAGCAATTTTTCAACATAGATAACAAATTTTGGAGCATCTTTATACAATTTTGTCTTAAGTAATTAACAACATGCAAAGTAGTATTCTGAAAATTTCTAGAACCCCTAATGATTTTTTTTTCTTTTTAGGGGTGGCAACGCACCGTCTTACGTCTACCGCCTCCTCTCCGAACTGTACCACCCCGACGACTACGAACTTTAAAACCAATCAAATAAAACCATTAATTTTATCAAAATCATTTATTTTTCACCTTTACAAAATTACCCTTATATTGGCTTAATCTTAAAATGCATTCCGATCAGAGAGAACACGAGACACTTCAAGTCCTGCACCAGATAGTAAAAGCAGCGCAGTCCTTCGGGATCCTTCGACTGACTCACATCGACCAAAGACCCCGTTTTGGAGGTAGTAAACGAAATGTGTTCATCGTTGATCACAATCTCGAGCTCCTGACGACCGATCCTGTCAGGTGGGGGCCACAACGAATCATCTTCTTGCATTATTTCTGAATCGACAATAATCCTCTTGAGCTCCTCCATCACACACTGGTGCACATAGACCTCTTTTCGGATCATTGTGTCGTTCTTGTAGTTGGAATTATTGGCGTAGCGCAATTTACCATCGGGTCGGAACTCAAACTCGAGAAATTCATGCCCGAATTTACCCTTATGACCCACGTAGTAACGAATGTAAAAATCTGCAGACATTCTAACGGAATTGAGACAAGCCGCTTGGAACGTTTGTGAGGTTAGGGTCGCTTCTTTCTGTCAAATTGAATGACAAATGTACCGAAGCGCCACCTATAAAAAAATAAGTTAAAAAAAACTGTTTATCAAAAAAATCAAAAACTCATTTATCATACTAATTAGGTTATAACGATTTAATAGCGAATAATCATATACAGATATGTGAAGAAATTTTAAATTTATTTTTATGACTTGAAAATTGGAGATTGACAATTGACATTTCAAAAAAGTGCGCCAAATTTAAATCGTGGTGTCAAACAACGTGTTCTAGGACCCCCTGCCTAATTAATTCTTCGCACTCGCTTCTGGGTAAGTAATGTCGACTGTTTTCTTTCAACAATAACACCGAACCATCATTCAACTCAAATTGTCCATAGTCGGTTAAACACCTAACCTCAATATACAAGGATTTTGGTGGTTTTAAATCCACAGCTAGATTAATCCCTTCGTCACCAACTGATCTCATATATTGAACTAAATTACTGGAGTATTTTGAAAACCATTCGATTTCAGCTTGACTCAAATTCGCTTTAACGTCAGGCGGTAAGATACTTCCAAATTGCCACCGCATATTTCTAAGACACTTTAATCGGTTGTAATGATAAGCCAGAATGCATCTAATGTTGCGTTTGATAGCCGCGTGCCGTATTTTCACTGTTGGTGCATAAGCAGAGGTGCGAACTAGCCGACTGCCTTCTGCTGATGTTTGACTGAAATAAAAGCGCTTGAAATGTGTGTTTCGAAGACAAAATTTGTTAACTTACGCATCTTCTTGGTTCTGGACAATCAGTTGCTTAACTTCAGTTTTAATTTCGTTGAGAAGATCGGTCTGAAAAAAAATAATTATTGAGTGAAGGTGTAATGTGACATTTTTACGTTAAAGGGGGGCAAAGAGTCCCGGTTTCGGTCTAACTCTTTGATCAGAGCATAGGCTTTCTCACAAAACATTTTATTCAAAATTGCGAAAAATAGTTTCCTAACCTAAAAGCCCGCCAAATGACAGTAAAGGGACATTTACATGACAGTTCGCGTATAAAGTCGCGTTTACACAAATTATTTTTTTAAATTAATCGCAGTTTAAGAGCTTTTTGTTGTCTTTGGAATGAAGAAACTGACTGCTACGACTTTTCAAAAATTATTATTTTTTCTTTTTACATGCTAACTTGATTGAGTACAAAATTTCAGAAAGCCCGCGCCACAATACTATCTGTCAACTGTCATGTCGCTACAACAGTATAACAAACTAATGTTTGAATTTATGAAGATACAAGTTAATTAATTATTAATTTAATATTATTGCATATTTACACTTTAGAACAAAATTCAAATATCTAGGGAATGTTTTCGCTAAACTGTTAGCATGGTCATCACCTAACTAATCAATCGTGATCTAATACTAACAATAAATAATGAGGTGTTGCCAACTCTATTTATTTGAAGTAGAAGAAATAGGGTATAGTACCAAATGACTTTATTAATTTAATTTTACTACTTACATGTTTCTAAAGGAATAAAATCACAGATATATTGATTATTGTTTAACAGATAGTAGTAACTATGACTTAACCCTATAAAAATCTTGAATAAAACACTTCAATATGAAAACAATCATCCAAAGTTATCACAAAAAATATTCTTTACAAGAGATGATACAATATCAGGAAAAAAAGATGTTACGCCTGCATACAAATATTTTTGTATAAATATAAAGTACTTTATAAAAAAGAATACATCAATGCGCAGTAGTAGCTATCAACACATTTAAGAGTCATTAGTTTAGTATACAGGGTGAGTCATTTAAATCTTGTATTGTTCATTGTCAATGGAAGAATTAAACGCTACAACTCCTGTATGTTCCACCAAATGAGAAAAATGCTTCATTATGATACAACATCGATTTCCCTAGGCGACGCTAAAGCAGGTGGCACCACCTGTTGAATGATATTGTGCGAAGGTGAATTTCCTAGTGGTTGACGCATTTTTATTTCAGCGTTTTCCTTCGCTTCTTGCGTCGCCTGCTTGATGGCTTCTTTGTATGGCCCCCTTTTTTTCTTATTATAACGTATCTGTGATGATAATAATAATTTGTAGTTCATTTTATTCGATATTTTGATACTACTCACCTTAAAATTTTCTAAATATGGACTTAACTGGTCGCACTGCATCAGTGACGACGTAGAGGAACCGTACCACGCGACGTGCGCTTGGGGCCCTTGGCCTCCGCAGTTCGTGATGGTTAACACTTTGCCTGGCCACCAGGGGAATCCGTGGATTTTGCCCCATACGACGTCGCCGACCAACATACGGCCTCCTGGAATTACAACAATTTATTGGAATCTCAATAAAGATCAAAGTTGCCTTTGACTTTAAAATTAAGTTTATGATTATGACTTTAAAATTAAATAAGACAATAATGTCAGATGTGTCAAATTTCGTATTTTCCTTTTCCATTTTAATCAGTTCAGTAAACTGAATTTGAAAATTTTATTGATTCTAAAAAATATTTTTGCAATAAAGACCTTTTTTCAGTGTTGAAGGATAAATAGTTGACAAAACTAGCGGCAAAGTGTCTGACGCCTCGTATACAGGCTGCGCCAGAACTCGCGCCCCAGAGAAAGATGCCATATAAAGTAACGTCCCAGGAACAGTTGGAGACACTTTGGTCGTCACTTTTCTGACACTTCAATGTAATTTAAGCTTTAACGTCAAAATGAATGATAATTTTAAATTAATGACAGCTATTATATTTTCCTATCAAAAACTTGTCAAGTATGATTGACAGTATCTAAAATTAAGATTAACAGTCCTAAAGCATGCTTTACAATTTAATGCCACTCAAGTGACATTGACGACCAAAGTATTTTGTCTCCAACTGAACATGGAAAAAATGTTACAAAATTTTATCTATAAAAATTTCGAAGTTATGAGGGTTTAAATTTTGCACTTTGACTCTATTTATTTCTGTTGGAAAAATAATTTTCCAAGTTTTTTTGCTACAGGCTATTAGAAGAGTAAACAAAGAAGCCGTATCCTAAATTGTAACTCTAATTGTAATGTTATTTGTGGCTTTTATTAGCAAAATTTTTGTACCTTTACTAAATAATTGTAAAAAAAAAAACATATACAAGAAATGTCAAATGTCAAAAAATAAATGTCAAATTTTTTTGACAGATAGAATCTTTTAAACTTTTTTTTCGTGTTCCTGGTATCTTACCTTACTTGAAAATTTTCTCTGGGGCGCGAGTTATAAGACTCCCCACTTGTGCGTCATTTGTCACTTTCCGTGCTTGTTATGTAATATACTATTACAATGAGGGTTTAGCACATATACAGTATTCACGCTGGTGTTGCCACTAAGCCATAAACCGTACCCCTTGTAAATCTTCATAATCACCTTCAAACCGAACGCTCGTGCCTGTTTCTTTTGTTGTGAAAATCGAGGGTTTTCGGTACCTACTCAATATGTCTATCCTTGTTTTTCCATGTCACTGTATGTTGTCGGAGTAAGAGGAAGATAGTGACGTAAAACTTTCAAATGAGAAACAGAATTCCAGATCAGTGGAAACAAAAATGTAAAGACTCAAATTTTAAAATTTATTTAAAAATATTTAACAAATATTCGTTTTATAAAATGAAATAATAAAAATACGATACATGGACCTAATATCCTACGGCTAATAATAATTATGTATGAGAATATTTTTCGCATAAAGAAGTGTCGTCACCCAACCCAAATCGAGGGCGAAATGTTTTGGGTGCACTGGTACCTGTCACCCTCGGCTTCGTTATATTGCTTAGCGGCAACACTTACGTGAATACAGAATATCAAAAATTACCAAATTAAATCAAAAGTGGTATTACTTTTATCTGTTTCGAATGTAATCACATCTATGAAACAAAAAGAAACCAAAATGTCTCTTAAACGAGTTATTATTTTAGCTTGTCCCGCTTGATTTACTTAAGTTTTTAACAAAAAACTCATTTATTTTGCAAGATCTTGTTAAAACACCCTTAAAAATCACAAAAATTAATGAAATTAATGGAATTTTGTTTGTTTCACTCGACGTATCTCGTTTTTGAGCAAAATTTCTTAAAAATAATAAATAATTTACCAAGTTAAAACGAGAATTATTTGTTTTACCTTTTTTGCAAGATTTTGCTAGCACAGAACGGAAAATCACCAATTTAAGTATAAAATGACATTTTATTTTTGCCTTTCTAGTACATTTTTTTTACATAAATCCGAAATTATTTTCCAAAATATCGTTAAAACAAGTCGTAAATTTAAAAATTGAACCAAAAACGGTTATTCGATTGATGAAGTACGTTTTTGAGAGAAAAACATTTTTGTTCGAAACATTTCACAAAAATGGCTGAAAAAATTAGATCGAAATTGATATTAATCTATATTTTAACTTCTTTTGCTCGACTTAGTTCATTTTGTCAAAAAAATTGAAACTGGTGTTATTTCGTTTCAGTTTCAGTTTTTTTTTAGAGATTTCACTATACAATCACTACATTGTTATAACAAAAATTATATATTATTGTTATAACAAAAATTATATCACCCTATCTATTTATATAATTATACAGTGTGCGCCAGAACTTGCGCCCCAAAGAAAAATGCCATGTAAGGTAAGATACCAAGAACCTAGAAAAAAAAATGTTAAAAAAATTCTATCTATAAAAATTTCGAAGTTTTGAGAGTTTAAATTTTACACTTTGACTTTATTTATTTCTGTTGGAAAATAATTTTCCAAGTTTTTTTTTTGTTACAGGCTATTAGAAGAGGAAACAAAGAAGCTGTATCCTAAATTGTAACTCTGTTTAATGTTATTTGTGGCTTTTATTGTCAAAGTTTTTGTATCTTTACTAAATAATTATAAAAAAAATATACACGTATACCTACATATTAAATAGACGTAAAAAATGTCAAATGTCAAAAAATAAATGTCAGAATTTTTTAAACATTTTTTTTTATGTTCCTGGTATCTTATGTTACTTGAAATTTTTCTCTCAGGCGTGAGTTCTGTCGCACCCTGTATAAAGTGATTCAGTTTATGTAAAAAGTAGCCTTTGACACTATTTGAAAAACTTCTGGTGAAAATAAGTGTACATAGACAAATTTTTCTGATCGGATTTAGTGATTTTTTTTGAGTTAACTACATTCTTCAAACGTCGTAATTTTCTAGTTAGTCAGTTAGTTGCCATTCATTTTTGAGGAGTGGTTGCTGGCAAAAAACAATCTATTATTAGGTACCAAAATTCAAAATTGCAAATAAAATCTCAAAGTCACAGGTTATTTTGATTAAAAATTTGATTGAATAAAAAAATAAAATAAAAAAAAACAATTGGGGGATTTTCCCGTCACAGGCCAAGACTCACCGTCTGCCGTCGGTGCACTCGATAACGTTTGCGAATTAATGCGCAACATTATGGGAGGCGTCGGTGGAGGGAAGTCTGGAACTTGTTCGCTGTGTTCGTCGGAACTGGACGTGTTTTCTTCAGGAGTTTTATCTGAGGGAGCGGCGGGATAAGATGCATACGTGTTGTTAAGTCGTTTTAAGTTAATTGACAGTTTTTGGGTGATGCATTGCTCTTTTGGGTCCTCTTGAGTCGAACTTACCTAAGAGAAAAAAAAAAAAAAAATGCACAAATGACAAAATGAAAGAATTTTTATGCTACAACTATCGTCACAAATTTTTCATAAATATTATTTTGTATTCTTTTTAAGTCGGAAGCAAAACCTCGAAGACTTGAATAGACACGAGAAAAAAAAATATTCAAAATTTTTCAGAAAATAAATTCAAATTAAAATTTCACATAACGTGCTGAAAAATTCAGATTTCGGACAATTTGTAATTTGTTGAAGTAATTGCCTTGAAATATTCACTCCATGTGGAAATCATGGTTGGAATCGTTCGCATTTGATTGGCTAACAGTAAGACACGTAACAATAATCTTAGTTTCAAAAAAATTTACTTGTTTATGCATTAACGAAGTACTCGTATTATGAGATTTACTATTTAATAATTTCATTTTATTGAGTTTGCATTTTATACTTAATATTAAAGTTGCCTTTCTTGGTTTTGCTTAAAATTAAAATTTACATAGCATTATTTGTTTTATTATTACATACATGAAAAGCTAAAATTTTTATTTTCTGATATAAACAGATACAGGAAATATTAGTCGAAAACGCAATAGTTTTAGAATTTTTTAATTTTCTAAATTAGAACCTCAAAATAATTATCTATTTGAAAAAAAAAAATGAAAGTCCTCTCATGGCAGCAACTGTACCGTGGGATCAAAAAAAAATTAATTAGAGTAGGAGTCGATTAAATTCTACAGTTGGCAACACATTAGCTGGGAATCTGGGCTGGAAATTTTCCACACAAATTGAAAGTGAAAATGACCATTCACCGTTTTCATCTTGTACAGCATTTTTGTAAAAACTTGCAACAACAAAAAAATTTTCTGCTCTAAAGTGAACATTATTTCACTCAAAATGAATAAAACGCAAACTTGTCAAAGTTTCCGCTGACATTTGATGTCAAAAATCAGGATTGCCATCTGACACCGCCTACTCTAATTTTTATTTTGATCGCACGGTATTTATTTAAGTGTCATCTGCAAAACACCCAATCAAGGGCACGATAAAGACTACCTAGGTAGTAAAATTAACTAAAATAAAACAAACACAAAACATTTAAATAAATATTGCTCTAAAAAACATCATTAATTTTTACAAGTTTCAAATTTTGATGTTGGCAACAACAATAACCTAAAAAGTTGATTTTCCTAAGTAGTATTTCTTGAAATTTAGAAGAAAATTAAAATTGTTTTTTTAGCATCACTTTTTCATATTTTTTTAATTTAAAGCCAATAGCTACCAGTGCTACCACCTATTTTACCGAAAAATGATTGCGATTTTTGTTATCAGGTTGGCAACAAATTTGAGATTTTTTTTTGGCAACCTTGGATCTTAAACCCAATCATCATAATCTTGTAAATTGTCATTCACTTCCAACAACGTAGTTATTGCTGTTCTAAAACAACCTCATGCATATAACAAATTAGAGAAAAATCTCATAACCCAATGTCCGTAGGCTTTTTGTCACAATCATTTAGTCATTCAATAAAATTTAAAACAAAAAAAAAAGTATAATTTTTATTTTAAAAAATTCGGCTATATTTCATTACTTTGTTTTTTATTATCCAAAATAACGTAATAAATGTTGTTCAATTAATTCATTGCAATTAAAATTATACTATATTTGTCAATGTCATTTTTTGACAAACTTATTTTTGTATACCTAATTTGAAATTCGTAGCATAATGTCAGCAATAATAGAAAGCCAATTGGAGTAAATTGCAAAATTTCTGACATAAAAAAATATTTTTTTAGTGACAATGACGACGAAAATATTTTGCATGCGACTGTAGCTTATTTTATTTACTTTCTATCGAGTAGAGCACCCAGGCAAGTGTAAGTAACCTTCAAAAACATGTATTAAAGGGAAATGCAAATGACTCAGTGCTGCCAACAGATTTTGGTGACAATAATTTACAGTCACTCTGTAAAACAGATCTAAAAATTGGTCGGAATTTTACTACTACAACAGATTTTGATAACAATCATTTACAGTCACTCTATATAACAGATCTAAAAATTTGTCGGAATTTTACTACTTCTTAATTCTTTTTTTTTTTTGAAGTTTTTGCAAGAAATATTAAAATTTATTAATTAGTATGTATTTTTCACTGTACTTAGCATTTTTAAAATTTATGACTGACAAAAGCATTATAAATTTTCTACGATTTTCACCTATTACACATAGAAAACATGATTTCATACCATAAGTTCAATTGAATTTCTGCTCAAAGTGGCTTGTGATTTTGGAATCAAGTTGGATACGCAAAGGTAGAAGATGAAGATGATTTAGATGTGAATTTGCATATCTTTGGTCTTTTTGTCAATGTTGCCAATGTAATTTTAAAATCATGGGCCACTTGAATCAGAAATTTAATGGAACGAATAGTTCTTGGAGAATAATTAAATCTAGATAATAATAAAGAGTCCTGAAAAAATGGCTTGAAGTATATTAGTAAATACATACTTAAGTAATGAAAAAAGCTTACATCAGTTTACAGTTTCCACTCGTTGCACCATTTTTTCAACATGCTTTTCAACATTAATTTATGTTCGAATCCAAAATAAACAAATCAATTTCTAAAACTTAATAATAAATTTTTATTTCCACAAGTAACAAACAATTTTGAAACCAAGATACAATTTTCAATGTGTAATTTTTTTTTTTTAATTAAATAACAAAAACAATTTTTTTGTATACAGGGTGTTTCACGTAATTTTACGAGGCCTGCGCCTGTAAGATGCAATCAATAATACATATTCCGATACGAACTCGATTACAAATTTTGAAAAATTGGATAAACTTCTCTAGTTTGTTCACCCTTTAAAAAATTACAACGTTTTTAGTTAGTTAGTGATTAAGATAGATAAACTAGAATCATATTCATGCCGTCTCTTGATAGAACAAATGATAATTGTTTGATAAAAACTGCAGTTTATAACTATTAATGAAACAGTGATTAGCTTGACAATAGTTTGACAACTATCGTCATGGGTTTCCAAAAATTAAATGAGATCTGTATTTTTTGTAACCAGTGTTTTGTGACTTTTGTATATTTAGTTGCGTACATTTGGCGCAAGCCTCGTAAAGTTACGTGAAACACCCTGTATAAGTTATGGTAAGCGACTTCTGGAACACCTGTATACAATCTTCATTTGAGAAATGAAATTCTATACTAAATAACATTTAAACTAGTTCAATAATAATTAAAAATGGCACATTAACAAAATCTTTGGTACTCATTCTTCATCTGTTGAGCCCCCTTACCTCACCCTCCCTGTGTTTCCGATCCTCTTTATGCTTCTTTTTATGCTTCATTTTGTGCTTCCTCCTCCTCGGTATGCTCAAATCCGGACACATATACCTGGGGCTGTTGTTCCCTAATCCATGCCTCGGGGACGCACTCCCAACGGTGTACCTCGGCGAGGAGCCCCCCAATGTGAACACCACCTTTCTCTTCGCCTCCTTCTTGGCCTTTTTGAGTGCTTTTCGCGCCGCTTTATCATCACTTTTCTCCTCAATTTCCTCCTCTTTGAGGTTCTCAATCTGTGCGGGGATTTTCAGCACTGTGCCTTCACCCTGGGGTCCGTACGAGATTTTAATCGTGCGCGTGTTCACATTATTGTTCTTATTGGCGTTCTCCTCGAAAACACTTTCATCCCAGAGGTCTTCCATGGACCCTACGCTGCGTTTCTTCCGGAGGATTCTTCGGCTGGTGTCACTCTCGTCCGAGTCCGAGTCAGAGGAGTGCTTCTGGGTGTTTTCCGAAACTGCAATGAGAAAATTAATCATCATTTATTCAATTTTTGCTTATGTTAATGAATTTTGCTCGTTTTGTGCTAATACAGGGTGATTCACGAGGAATAATGAGCCTGACCAAATTCTCGATGCAACCACCATTACATTTTTGCAAGTTTCTTTGCGACAAATGTAATGTTGGTTGCAACGAGAATTTGGTCAGGCTCATTATTCCTCGTGAATCGCCCTATATTTTTATCAATTGTGTAACCAAGACAATCAATATGACAGTGGTGTCCAATTTATACTGGATTTTTAAAAAATCAAATGCATTTAACTCGATTTAAGTCTTCTTATTTTAATTCTAAAAAAAAAAACTGAAAAGTAAAGACTTAAAAAATGAGTCGGATAAAATTCTACGTACTCCTTTGATAGTTTTAGGGACCATGTTCGTCAACATCGAAATACAATGGAAAAAAAATAAAAATTTGCTCCCTCTCAATTGATTGAATCCGTTAATAATTTGATTTTTTTTAGTTTTTTATTATTTATTAAATAAATAAATTAATAATTTTTTTACTCGTTACTCGTAGTAAACCAAATTTAAGCAAAAATTACACTGAACAATTTTTTTCCTTGATTTCATGTAATAAATTCAGCTGCAATAAATTATGGTGCATGTTTTATATTCAATTCTATTATGAAATTCTTACTTTGAATTGAGTAAAATTTCAACATAACATTGCAAAAATGTAATAGTACGTTCCCTTTTCTTTTCCCTTTAACAGTTTTTCATTGGTAAACACGTAAGGGAGGGGCAATGATCAAGTTATATTTTAACGATTATAATTACTATACCAGCTGAATAAAAAGTATGGAACCAAGCGTTTTTTTCGTAAACTAAGCACTTTACGAAAAAAATAATTAGTATAGTAAAAAAAAATAGTATAGTAAAGTACAATTAAAATGTGACCATTTATCAAGAATAACATTTTTCGAAATTTCTTTTAGTTTTCGAGTTCTGGAAATTTTTTTTTTCAAATGGCAACCCACCATGGTAATTTTTTTTATTAAAGATTATGATCTAAAAATTACCTCTAATTAAATTGTTTTTTAGCCAGTACTTTTTTTAAAATAAATTGTTAAAGTTGCGTTCCGTGCTCATCACGAAGATTTTCCGAACTTAACCTAAGTGGTTGTTTCATGCATTTCATCATGGGAGAGCGCTGATTTCTATGCAGGTGCTTTGGGGTGGTTTCGAATGGACTAAAAATAGAAGAAAATGATTTGTTATTACATTTTTAGAGCCATCCGGAACCACCCCAAGGCACCTGCACAAAAAAACAGGCTCTCCAACGACCAAAATCATGAAACGACCTCCTCGTTCAAGTTCGGAAAATCTTCGTGATGGGCTCGGAACGCAACTTTAACAATTTATTTAAAAAAAAGTACTGAATAAAAAAACAATTCTGTTTAATTAGAGGTCATTTTTAGATTTAGATATATATAATCTTTAATTAAAAAAATTACCATGGTGGGTTGCCATTAAATTTTTTTTTTCCAGAACTCCAAAACTAAAAGAAATTTCGAAAAATGTTATACTCGATAAATGGTCACATTTTAATTGTACTTTTCGCTACACTAATAATTTTTTTCGTAAAGTGCTTAGTTACGAAAAAAACGCTTAGTTCCATACTTTTTATTCACCTGGTATGTACAGGGTTATTCATAAATATGAAGCAATATTTGAACCTCAAAAATGACCTATAAAATGATGTTAATTTAAATAATAACTCGTGTCCTATCTCCACTGATAAGAATTTTACAGCCCTCAGAATGTGGGTATGGAAATTTGATTTTTTTGTAATAACTTTGGAACTATTTGACCAAATATTATAAAATTTCGAACATTTCCCTGTGACAACATACCTTTTAAACTGGTAATCACGAAAACCGGATACATCCACTCAATTTCCGGTTCCAGCAGTTGCAGGTCACATTTTCTGTGTTTTTCCATTTTTTTGCTCTCTTAACACCAATTTTTTATTGGCCAAATCGATAGAGTAATCAATTTCGATTAAAAAACGCATAACCTTTAATACCCCTAAAATAAACGGTTTCAAAGATATTTTAATTTAAACTGAGGACTACACAACGCTGAAACCAAAAAGTAGGGATTTTGAATGGATGATATCCACGGTAACAAATGACCATGGTCTCACCAATCGCTGTCAGGCATCTGTCAACTTTGAGATTGGACGATTATTAGACAATTAATCGAAAATATTTAATAAAAGAGTTTACCTCAGATTCCAAACATAACTTAGAATAAATCCAAATGGATTTCGTAGCATTTAATTCATAAAAAATTCACAAAAATTTATCGTCAAAGTTAACCGATGCCTGGCAGGGATTTATGTGACCATGGTCATTGGTTGCCGTGGATACTACTTATTCAAAATCCCTACTTTTTGGTTTCAGCGTTGAGCAGTCTTCAGTTTAAATTAAAATATCTTTGAAACGGTTTATTTTAGGGGTATTAAAGGTTATGCGTTTTTTAATCGAAATTGATTACTCTATCGACTTGGCTAATAAAAAATTGGTGTTAAGAGAGCAAAAAAAATGGAAAAACACAGAAAATGTGACCTGCAACTGCTGTAACCGGAAATTGAGTGGATGTATCCGGTTTTCGTGATTACCAGTTTAAAAGGTATGTTGTCACAGGGAAATGTTCCAAATTTTATAATATTTGGTCAAATAGTTCCAAATTTTATAATATTTGGTCAAATAGTTCCAAACTTATTACAAAAAAATCAAATTTCCATACCCACAATCCGAGGGCTGTAAAATTCTTATCAGTGGAGATAGGACACGAGTTATTATTTAAATTAACATCATTTTACATTTAATTTAATTTTTTTACATTTAATTTAACATTTTTTTACATTTTTGAGGTTCAAATATTGCTTCATATTTATGAATAACCCTGTATAATGAATGTATTAACATCGATTTTTTCCTTTTTCAACTTTTGATTAGAAACATTTTGAAGTATGTCTTGTTATTTCTATCGACTATAATGTACAATGTAATCAAAAAGTCTATTAAGTAGACGTACTAGTTGAAGTCGCAGTACCTTGATGTCAAAAAATAATTCTATAAAAATTAAAATATTGATCTAAGCAAGTTGAATTATTGTATGAAACCTCTCAAAACATCCTAAAATTAATTGTTGTTCATGTTCATGATGTTTATTCATACAAATCGAAAACCACGGTTTCCTGTCATAATTTAACATAAAAATTATTTTCACATTTCTTATTTATCATTAAGACATTTTATCTTAAGCACACACGTTCTAAATTTCTAGGCTGGCTTGATAGAAAGACTTTTTGATCTCACTGAACGTATCCAGGGTATCCTACGAGTAACAAATGAGTCTAAAAAATGTTGTTAGCAACCAACATTGCATTTCAAAGATAACGTGGATATTAAAATATTTGGTTTTAATAAAATTAAACATAGGTACAGTTGAAGACAAAATACCTTGGTCGTCACTTTTCTGGCACTTTAATGTAATTCAAGCTTTAACGTTAAAATGAATGACAATTTTAAATTAGTGACAGCTATTATATTTTCCTATTAAAAATATGTATGACATTGACGACCAAAGTATTTTGTCTCCAACTGTACCAGACAGAAGTACAACTTTAATTTATAAAAAGTCAAAACTTGGTGAGATTTAGTACCAACATGATTCTCATTTATAATGAAGAATGTTTAAGAAATGCTTTGCGTTTGCCCGGATTATAAACTTTTGTCAAAAATAAAAATAAGATTACTATACAGGGTGATTCATATAAGATAATGAGCCCGACCCAAAAAAGAAATTTCATTTAAAGTAAAATCGTTTTCCTAAAACCTACTAAAAATTATATTACTTTTAAGTTAAATGCGGTATAGTTAAGAGTAAACCAGAGGGTAAACAAATCATAAATTAGTGGAACCCACCCGGACCCAGAAACCAAGGAAACAGGTCAGTTTTTAACAGGGCCGGATTACTTACTTTCTTTTTGTCTAAAATACTTGAAATATTTTCATAGTTTTTGATGTAGTTGTTATTAAAGTCAAGTATTTTAAGAAATTTAAAAAAAACCAGGTGGTTATTAACAACCTATTATTAAATAAAGCTGATTTTTTTTTAATAATAGCTTGGTAAAACTACCACTACTTTGGTTTTAAATACGGTCCTGTTTTATTCTAGTGGGTGCAGCAACACTTACAAAGGAAAGTGCCATTTATGGAGGGTTACAAGTTCAAGCCATTGTTTAGTTAATCCCTTATAATGTGTCATAAAATTTTTGGTAGGTCTTAGGAAAACGATTTTTCTATACTACATACCGCTAAACAAGGACAGAGCACATACCCAAGCTTGAGGATGGTAAGTTCGAATATGTACAGTTTTGGCAACATAAATCTCGTACAAAATGACATTTCAATTTCTGTTTTGTTGTAATTTATACTTTAATTTGTCAAAGTGAAGTTTATTAATTATTTTTGAGAAAATAATTTATAACAGTCAGTCTGACAAGAAAACTTTTGCAAGTTATCAGCAAAATTCGAAAAACAGCAGAATTGCACATAAATAATGAACGTGAAGGAACGGTGGCAAAACGAAGGAACCATAATCCGAAAAGAAGGGAAAGGCTTAACCAGAATTTCTTCTAGAGAAGAAGTTTATAACACTATTGTAGAGATCATCCTTTCGAAAAACATTAAAATTTGATCGTTTGATTTACGCAAATTCATGTTTTTTATAACAAAGTTAGTTTTACAACAAACATTGTTGGAAAAATTTGACGTGATGTCAAATTGAGGTTGTACAGTTGGAGACAAAATACTTTGGTCGTCAATGTCACTTGAATGACATTAAATTGTAAAGCATGCTTTAGGACTGTTAACCTTATTTTTAGCTACTGTCAATCATAGTTGACAAGTTGTACATATATTTTTGATAGGAAGATATAATAGCTGTCATTAATTTAAAATTGTCATTCATTTTAACGTTAAAGCTTGAATTACATTAAAGTGTCAGAAAAGTGACGACCAAAGTATTTTGTCTCCAACTGTAAGAGATTTATGTGGCCAAAACTGTACCTTAACCGGAACATACCGTGACGTCACTGTGACAAATCGAAAATGGTTAATATGTTGTGGTATCAAGTGGAATCAACCGATATGTACAAATAGAAAATCCCTAAATTATTCAATGCTGCCAACCTAATTTCATAGCCATAGACAACTTTGACCAAACATTTTTTAAATATCTTTACAAGCATCACGGAATTCGTAAAAAAATGAAAGGCTGATGCACCTATAAACACCCCATAAAACTGCAGGCTGCGGGGAGGCTGCTATTTGGTCCCCAATAACCAAAAAAATCCCAAAAATTTTAGTAATGTCCCTAGTGAAGTTGGTATGAAGTGTTTTGTTAGTTGCATAGCTTAAGCAAGCTAAATGTGGTCAAACCAACAAACAGACCAAAAGTCATTTTTATTATGTTTTTTGTTTAATAAAAATTTATACTATTGATTATGTTTAATTCATTTATTGTATTTTTGTATGTATGTATGTATGTATACGTTTAACTGTACTGCTGGTTGCATTTTGAGGACCAAATGGCGGCGCCAATGGTGCGTGCAGTTTATATGCGTATGTCCTCTTTTCTTAGTTTAGGCGAACACAATGTAGAAGCAATAAACAATTAGTTTTTTAAATAAATTAATCTATTTAAGGGAAGGGCACTGTCGAATTAACACCAAGATTTGTTCCCTTCTTTTGTTTATCAGGATTGATGAAAATATTAGCACAAAATGTGCACAATTCATTAAAATAGACTCACCTGCAGTGAGGGGCTTTTTAAACGTGACAATTTTTCCATTCATGGCGTCTTTCTCCTCCTGGGGGGTCAATCGTGTGAGTTTCGGGACTAAAGTGGCTTCGCCCAGTTTTTTCTTGTTAAGTTCGGAGTGAATTGAAACTGAACGTGTGATGGGGGCGTTGAGGCCCCGTTTGACGGGCGGAGACAGGACACTCTCGGCCGGTTTGCGTTTCCGCGACACGTTTTCCGAGTTTTCGTTGCAAATTCCTTTGCATTTTGAACAAAGAACTTGACGGGGACGCAGTCGTACTGTCATTTTATTATTCTTGTATTTACTCGGGATTTGAACGTTTTTTTTCTTCGCAGTGCTGGGCTCTGTGTAGGCGAATCTTTGGTTGACTGAATAGAGACTGTCATCGTCGAGTTTTGGTTTTACTGACACTTTAAATGCGGGGTTCAGATTAGGGACGCCACATGGAAGGTTTCTGCCAACAAAACAATTCATTATTGGTGGAAATGATTAAGAAAAAAGTGTTTTGGACTTGAGGTAAAGACAATGGATTTTGGCTTACCTCTTGGTGGAATCGAGGAGGACCCCTTTAAATATTTTCACGCCGAATTCGTACGTTACTACTAAAATGTCTGGTAAGGCTTCATCGACAAAAACTGAAATTCTTGTCCTTTTTAATAACTGAATATCCTTACAACATTCTTGGTCCGCCATATTTGAAAAATGGAAATTAAAACCGACGTGAAAATGTGCTTGGAAATTTGAGATGGTGGAAATTTACTAAATGGAAAGTTTCTTCAGTCGGAAAATGGAAATTGTTTAAAGGAAATGAAAGAAAAATGAGTTTTAGGCTTATAAACGAAATTATTTTATGGTTAGGAATGTGACAAGTGCAACTATTGGCAATACTGAAAGAGCTTTAAATTTTTTGACGTTTAGATAAACAAAGTTTTAATTCTATTTAGGAACATGTAACAAAAAGTATAAATAATTTATATTACAAGTTAATACAAAATAAAACGGAAAAATACTGCTAAAATTTTACACAATTATATTCTTAGATCACTATTAATTCCTAAGGATTTTCGTTCTTTTGAACTTTCTATCTCTTGCACTAAAATGTGGCTAGAAGACTTTCTCAAATATAGTAACTTTATTAATAAAAAAAGGAACTAAAACTAAGAAAAGATATTAGATATTGTATTATAACATCTTTGCGTCCTATTGTTACAACATAGAAATTATTTATTATTTCTTTTTGTTTGTGATTTGCTTGAAGTTGACTTTACTTTTGTCAGGTTGGTATTATAAATTGTAGTCATTGGTAGTCAGGTCAGGTCAAAATAGTTATTTAACTTATGAATCTCGTCACTGATAACAACAAAATAGCCATTTTGTGATTTATAAAAACGATTAATTGCAATAAAAGTAGCTAATATTTAAGAAAAATCATTGCTAAAGTTCATTCAAGTTGGATTTTTCCGCACAAACGTAAAGAATTTTAAAATTTAGCTATGTAAATCGCCTGGAAATAAAATTGAGCAGTATACAAGTTACTAAAAAACGATTTGGTAACAAAACTGTGAAATCGCTTAATAATAGCGTCAGAAATTTGTTTTTTTTTCTTTATTTTTTTATCACTCTTGATAAATTAGTTTCACCAACTCGAAAGAAATAAATAATTTTTGATCCGCTATATTTGAAAAATAAAAATTAAAACTGACGTACAACATTCAAAAAAACGTCATTTGTTTGTAAAAATCTATTACACCAACCCCAAAGAACAAAATTTTCCAATTTTTTTTGGAGTTATTTAAAAAAAAATCTCTTTATTTTAATTTAAAATTTAAAGAGGATGGAACAACTTTTAGTGGAGCGCCATCTATTGATTGCTGACTTGGATAAATAAAATAGAGGTTGGCTATACTGCTTTTCAAATTTTTACAGGAGTCTGAAAATAACAATAATTGATTATTAATATACATAAAATTTGTTGTTATAAAAATGACGTCAACAATAAAATTTAATTTTAGAATAAAAATAATTAAAATTTTCACTTGTACTTTACTTATTTTGCATCACAAAACCCTATCTCTATTCCCACCACAACTCAAGGTAAAGTAATGTTTAAAAATAACCATTTGCTTAACTTTAAACCATTTAAAATTCCTTAAAATAATGTTATCTATTACATACCAAATTTTTTCTAACCTCAAAGTTGAACCCGAGCTGTGAACTTTGAGTGTACAAAAATAATCCAAATATCAATAAAACCCACTTATATAATTACGGCCTGTTTTCGCATTGATATCATATTCGATTCAGCCTTCGTGGCATTAAATTTTGTTGGCAACGTTCTGTTCCACATTTGGCGGCCTTGCGGGTCGATCGTCGTGTCAAAAAGTTCCATTTCGCCCTAACCAAAGCAGATTTCAAGCAAACAGAACTTGCGACCAGAAAAAGAAGGTACGAAAAGTGTTGTTTTAATCTGGAATTAATTTAAAAATGAGAACAAGTCGTTTTTTAGGTTATGCCGGAACGGTTGAACATCGATGGGCCCCTGTGGGACCAGAGCACCTTTGTGGGGCGCTTTAAGCATTTCTTGTGGGTGACGGACCCGAGGACTTGCATTGTATCGGAGGAAGAGTTGGACAAAGCTAAGATTCTCGTGGAGCAGTACAGGAAGCACAAGGAGCCCCCAGGAACCACTTTGGAGCAGGTTATTTATGCGAAGAAATTGTACGAGAGTGCGTTCCATCCAGACAGCGGTGAAAAACAAAATGTGTTTGGAAGGATGTCGTTCCAGGTGCCGGGGGGTATGGCAATCACGGGGGCGATGCTTCAGTGGTATCGGTGAGTTTTGGAGCTAAATGCAAGTTTACTGTTAATCTTACATTTTTTATCGTTGCGTGAGTTTTTAAACGGTGTTCCTATCTAATAAAATTATCATAAAAAAATAGTTAAAACTCAAGGCCTTTGCAAAAACGGGGTTTTTATATTATTTTTAATTTTAATATATCAGGTGTAAATGTATATCATTTATGTATTTTTTTAATGAAACAACCAATATTTTAGATGTCTCTTTTTGATCCAAAGTTTTATTGATCGGTTAGTATTAAAAAAAAAATGTAGTAGTCTTTTAAAAAATTCTTTCTTAAGTATTTTTTAAAAATTTACGACATAAACAGTAACTATAATAAAAAACAACAAAGTTGGCGTAGCTATAAAGAAGACAGTACAATAGTATATTAAAAAACAAGTGTTACAAATACAAATAAATAGTTTGTGACACGAGCCACGCAGAGGCGAGTATTATAAACGCTGGGGTATCACAATGAGAGGTTGCAACACGCGTTATTTATACAATTTTTTCTATTCAGCGCTTTTTAAATTGAATTTATTATTATACAGGCAAAATATTTGTACCTTTATTAAATAGTTATAAAAATACATATATAAGATCATCAGTATCATTCAATAGACATAAAAAATGTCAAATGTCAAAAAATTAATGTCGAAAGTTTTTGAGAGAAATATGTTGAACTGCAACAAATTCTCACTTAAAAACGATGATGATGATCAAAGTATTGCATAAAAGTCGCCAAAAAACAATGTCACAAAATTGTATTTCATGCAACTGTTTTCAGTTACACAAAATACTTATTGACACCAAAATAGAAAAATACAATGTTTTAAATAAGGCCACAAAAAAGTCTGGAAGAGTAGGGTCACATGATCTCGCAAAGTAGAGAAGATATTTTTCCTACGACCATATACAAAAGTAGATCATAACGCACAATTACATATGCGCGAAAATTGGCAATATCGTTCGAGGTCAAAAACCTGTGCGATTTGTTTTCGCGCTGTGTGTTAGAAATCTAACGCACATTTCACACTCGAATTTGTATTTTTTCATTCAACGTATTTTTTTGGATCCATTATAAAAGATAAATCGTTATGAAAAAAATATATGTTCGTGAGAAAAAAATTCTTTATGGTCGTAGGAAACTGTCTTACGCACTCGCGGGATTGCCCGCACTCGGCTAACGCCTCGTGCGCATCTTTCCCGTTTGTGCGTTATTTATCACTTTCCGTGCTCGTTATGTAATATACTATTAAGACACAGCTTCTTTCTTTCCTCTTCTAATAGATTGTAGCAAAAAAACTTGGAAAATTATTTTTTCAACAGAAATAAATAGCGTCAAAGTGCAAAATTTAAACACTCATAACTTCGAAATTTTTACAGATAATTTTTTTTAACATTTTTTCCATGTTCCTGGCATCTTAACTTATATGGCATTTTTCTCTGGGCAGAGTTCTGGCGCAGCCTGTATATGAAGCGGAGCGGAAGACAGATGAAGGCCATGCTACGCTGTCAGAAAGTTTTTTTTGCAATGCCGGGTGAAGGGAAACTTCCTTTATTAATCAGGAAGCTGTGGTTGCAACAAATAAGAAAATCGTATCCACGACAATGAAAGAGAAAAGTTTACTTCATAGTTATAGTCATTATTTGATTTGTTTTGCCTTAACTTTTAACAAAATGCGAAGATCTTCTTTCTGTTTAATAACATTCAACGAAATCGTTTGATTTGTTTTTCTTGATTTTTTTCTAAATTTATGGACATGAATCACAAATGTTAAAATAATAAATCGCTTGGCGTGATTTGAATTTGGTGGCAAAAATTAACGGATATTGTTGATAATTGTTAAAACTGAATGATTCCAAAAAAAATAAATAATAAATAAATTATCAAGTAATAATCTTTTTGTTGGATCTTTTTGATGTCGAATGAGTCAAAACATATTTTAAATAAGTAAAGTTGGTCTGCCTACGAGTACTACTTTGCTTACTATATTCTGATTAATTTCCTAAATTTCGGGCCGCGTACATGAAAAAAATTTGAGGATTCATTTTTGAGGATTACATACAATGTCAAATAAAGTTCGAGTTGAATTTTCCAACGCCTTCATGAAAAACACTGCTACGTGTCACCAACTGACGCAAAGTACCTTAAATCATTAATATTTTTTACTTTCCTTATCCTATAAGAAAAGTATTGTAATCAGATGAAATTTGACTGTGTGCCCGTCTGTCTGTCTGTAAACAGCATATCTCGAAAACGATAAGAGCTAGAAACTTGAAATTTGGTATGTAGGAAGAGGACGCAGCACAAAACATTTGGTAAAAAGCGGTTGCACCGTTGGGCCACAAAGACCAAAAATCGGCCGCAAAGTGGCCGCAAAATTATACGGTTGAATACATACATGGGGATAAACAATGGGTACCGAATTAAAAAATATTGCACCCCAGACTCGAACCCGCGACTATGATCTATTTCGCGTGGCACTAATGCAAACGTTAGGTTTGCTTACTCGGATTTCCAACACTAAATTATTGTCGTGAGGATGTTTTCTAAATAAGTAGGATAAGGAAAGTCGTGTGATGTTCACGACATCAAAAGTGGAAAAAAAAAAGTATAGAACACTCATTACAGAAGGCCATTCAAGCAATCGTTGGTTCCCTAACTTGCTGCTACGCAGCTCGTATATTAAATATTATTGAATGGATTTTTGATATGACTGTTTCGTATTTTCAGTACACCATTCGCGGTAGTCTTCTGGCAATGGGTGAATCAATCTTTCAACGCTTTAGTAAACTACACGAATCGCAACGCAAAATCGCCAACAACCACTACACAACTCCTAGTCGCTTACGTTTCGGCGACCGGTTCAGCAATGGCTACAGCTCTCGGCTGTAAATATTACTGGACCAAACGTGCTAGTCCTTTCGTTCAAGTAAAGCACACTTTTTAACTGATTATTTAAATCATTCTTTTGATTTGGCCACTTGCAGAGATATGTGCCGTTTGCAGCCGTCGCAGCAGCGAATTGTGTCAACATCCCACTGATGCGACAAAACGAACTCTTGTACGGAATTGACTGTTCCGATGAGAATGGTAATATCGTGGCACAGTCGAAATTCGCCGCCGCCAAAGGAATCACTCAGGTTATTATTTCGAGGATCACGATGTGTGCACCGGGGATGCTCATCTTGCCTGTTATTATGGAAAGATTGGAGAAGTATAGGTGGATGCAGAGAATAACCGTTTTGCATGGGCCGTTGCAAGTTCTGGCAGTTGGATGTTTGTAAGTTTTTTTTTACTTAAATTGTGTTGTCTTATTATTAACTAGCTGTTGCCCGTGGCTTCGTACGCGTTGTAATTTAACATCAACAATTATTTCAAAACGCAGAAGGGCTAAAAAACTTACTAGCAAAAAGCAACACATAATTTATATTTTCTACTCCCACATCTAAAACACGGATTATCGTATGTGTTTCCATAACGCTAAGTGACCTTTTATACACACCTTAACAAGCCGTGACTTTTATGCCTATTAGCCACGTTGCTAATAGCAACTGTCATATTAGTCACGGGCTGAAGTTAGGTTTCTGTTATTCTAATAATTTTTCGAGTGTGAATCTGGCTGCACGAAATGAAAATGTTGGGGGAAACGCGATGTGACGCGAGTAGGAAATTTTTGGTCGACTGTAATTTAAATTTTGCCCTCAAGAGAAATATTACTTATTAACTTCACGGAGGTGCTTTCTGTCAGTTGTCATTTAGTTGTCATTTAGACGGGGCTGCGGCATGTGAAAAATAAATGAAAATGAAAGTGAAGATGATGCACTCCACCCGAGATTAGCAGCGACCTCGGCAACTTCTAGTTTGCTACCGGAAAAATCAAAAAGTCAGTACGAACGTGCATATAAACTTTTCCAAGATTGGCGTCAAGAAATTAAATAAATTCTTTATCTGAGAATGTGCTGTTTGCATATTTTCAAGATCTTTCGAAAAGGATGACACCGTCTTCTTCGTGGACAGTCTACTCAATGTTGCAGGTGATGCTTAACCTAAAAAACAATGTTGACATGAGAAAATATCCCAAACTGTGTGCGTTGCTGCAGGGTAAATCTGATGGTTATAAACCTAAAAAGTCGAAAACAGCAAATTAAAGAATTCTTATCGTCTGCTCCTGACAAGGAATACCTATTTACAAATATAAACTATAATACCAAATTAAATTAAAAATAAGTACAAATATAATTTTTTGTGGTGAAAAAGTATAGTATGTAACACGTGTATAAACTTCTGTAGACATTCGTTTTATTAAACACTCGCTCCGCTGCGCTTCGCTCGTGCCTAATAAAACTCATGTCTGAAGTGGCGTTTATAACACTAGTTACATAATATACTATTGAACGTGTCGTAGTAAAAATAAAAAGTCTGTCTTTTATAACTTATTTAAAGACTACAAAATTTCAAGTCTTTAATTTCAAACAATAATGATTTCCACACACCCTTTAATACCCCATTCTTAGCTTACTTTGCTTCGGGGGATAGAAGTCCATATATGCGGTTCGATTACGCCGTTTATGCATCAATTTTCTACAACTATATCAGCAAGGATAAACCACAACACTGTATAAAAATCTGTTGTTGACTTGAAGGGATATAACTTGAAAAACGACAAATTTTAATTCAAACTGTCATCCCCTGTTTAACCTTCTTGGAGGTGGTATTTTCAAAAATCCTAAAACATGCTTTTCTTTATTTTTAATAGAAAGCCCCAATAACAATTTTTATGGATTTAATATCAAAGTGGACGAATTTTCATGCCTATTACTTAACAATGACAAATTTTGATACAAATTTTTAACCGAATGCCTAAATACCAATTTTCAAAGATTTGACTTTAAAAATGACAAATTTTGTATATAAACTGTCATCCCTCTTTAACCCTCTTGGAGGTGGAATTTTGAAAAATCCTAAAACACCTTTTCTTCATTTTTAACCGAAAGTCTAAATCCCAATTTTCATAAATATAACTTCAAGAATAACGAATTTATAAATATTTATACAAATTTTCATCCCCTGTTTGACCCCTTTGGGGATAAAATTTTCCAAAATCCTGAAACACGTGTTTTTTGTCTTCAACTGAAAGCCCAAATACCAATTTTCATTGATTTAACTTTGAAAAAAAATTGGATATTTTACTACCATTTACCGTTGTTCAACCCCCTTGGGGGTGGAATTCCGAAAAATCCTAAAATACGTATTTTTTTATTTTTAACCGAAAGCCTAAAGGCCAATTTTTATGGATATAACTTTAAACTTTCAAATTTACCTCTCCATTTAACCCCCTTAGGGCTTGATTTTCCAAAAATCCTTTCTTAGTGGATGCCCACCATTATAAAAGGTATCTACTGTGAAAATTTCAAAATTTCAAGAAAAAAAGAGGACAAGTCTCTTTATACAGGGTGCACCAGAACTCGCGCCCCAGAGAAAAATGCCATATAAGGTAAGATACCAGGAACATGGAAAAAATGTTAAAAAAATTTTATCTATAAAAATTTTAAAGTTATGAGGGTTTAAAGTTTGCACTTTGACTCCATTTATTTCTGTTTGAAAAATAATTTTTCAAGTTTTTTTGCTGTAGGCTATTAAAAGAAGAAACAAGGAAGTTGTATCCTAAATTGTAACTCTGTTAAATGTTATTTGTGGCTTTTATTAGCAAAATTTTTGTCCCTTTACTAAATAATTGTAAAAAAACATATACAAGATCATCAGTATCCTTAAATAGATATAAAAAATGTCAAATGTCAAAAAATAAATGTCAAAATTTTTTGACAGATAGAATTTTTTAAACATTTTTTTCATGTTCCTGGTATCTTACCTTACTTGAAAATTTTCTCTGGGGCGCGAGTTCTGGCGCATCCTGTATATAGGGTGTACTGAAAAAATGTTTAAAAATTCTATCTGTCAAAATTTTGACATTTATTTTTTGACATTTGATCTTGTATATGTTTTTTTATAATTATTTACTAAAGGTAAAAAAATTTGTCAATAAAAGCCACAAATAACACTAAACAGAATTACAATTTAGGATACAGCTTCTTTGTTTCCTCTTCTAATAGCCTGTAGCAAAAAAAAACTTGGAAAATTATTCTTCCAACAGAAATAGAGTCAAAGTGAAAATTTTAACCTGTCATAACTTCTAAATTTTTATAGATAGAATTTTTTTAACAATTTTTCTATGTTCCTGGTATCTTACCTTACATGGCATTTTTCTCTGGAGCGCGAGTTCTGGCGCAGCCTGTATAAAATAGTTCCGTGACTGACTGACAGACAACGCACAGCCTAAACCACTGAAGCTAGAAACATCTACTAAGAAAGGATTTAAAAAAAAATAACCCCTCAGGGGGTGAAATGGGGTGTAAACGTTTAAACAATGATAGAAACAAAAAAATTTAAGATATGTTCCTTAGCGGTTGTGAAAGTGCACTAAGACGAGGTTTTTCAAAAATAATTAGTAAAAACTTATTTACTGTCTTAGAAAAGGGGGTGAAACAGGTTGTATAAGTTTAAACGAAAATAGAAACATTAAATTTAGAAGATATGTTCCTTAGAGGGTGTACAGGTTCGCTAAGAAAAAAAAAATCGAAAATGAATCTCTACGGGGATGAAATGGGGTGTAAATATTTAAAGAAGGATAGAAAGAAAAAATTTAGAAAATATATTCCTTATCAGTTGTAAAAGTGCACTAGGACAAGATTGTTTTAAATAATAAGTAAAAACTTATTTACCCCCTTAGAAAAGGGAGTGAAACGGGGTGTACACTTTTAATCAAAAATAAAAACATGAAATTTGGACAATATGTTCTTTAGAGTGTGTAGAGGTTCGTTAAGGAAGGATTTTTCTATAATCAATCTATTAGGGGATGAAATGGGGTGTAAACATTTAAACGAAGATAAAAACCTAAATTTTTGGAAACATATTCCTTAGAGGGTGTAGAGGACTGCTAAGAGAGGATTTTTTGAAAATCAATTTCTAAGCAGGGTTAAATGGGGTGTAAACATTTTAACGAAAATAAAAACATAATATTTGGCAAATATATTCTTTAGAGGGTGTAGAGGTCCGCTAAGAAAGGTTTTTTTGAAATTATAGTTACAAGAGGGTGAAATATGTTGTCAACACTTAAACGAAGATAGAAACATAAAATTTGGAAAATATGTTCTTTGACGGTTGTAAAGGTGCACTAAGACGAGATTTTTAAAAATCAGTTTTTAAGGGGGTGAAATGAGGTGTACATGTTTAAACGAAGGTAGAAACATGAAATTTGGAAAATATTTTTCTTAGAGAGTAGAGAACTGCACTAATCAGGCATCAAAAAGCAACCAATAACGGGATGAAATTAGGTGCAGACATTTAAACAAAAACATAAATATAAAATTTTAAATTTTGGGATTTTAAGGGTGTAGAAATGTTCTAAGAAGACATTTTTTGAATATTCGAGAGGTGAAGCGTTTATAACGTACTTCCGTCATTCTTTTAAAAATCGGGTTTGTGGTGCTCCCGCGTTGTTTTCAGTTGATGAATCAAGAAAAAAATAGATAAACAGACTAACTTCACATTTCTTCTTTAAGAAACAACAAAAATTTATATCGAAAATCTACTTGGACGAAGTCACGGGTGCAAGCTAGTTATTTATACAAATATTGAATTTTTATTTCACTTTTCCAAAAACAAGTGAACTGAAATGAAAACTTTTACTAAGTGAAACTTTTTGCTACAGTGAATAACAGAAAGCAAAAAGTACATTTAATTGATTTGTTTCACACATGTTATAGTAAATTTATTATCATATTTAATTTTTTTAGCCTATCATTCATGGTCCCAACTGCCTGTGGTCTATTTCCCCAAAGATGGTATGTAGTTGCATTTATTGTCCTCTATTTTTTTCTTAGCAATTGTGATATTTATAATTTTGACATCAATTATTTTCTGTCATCAGCTCCATCAAAGCTACAACATTGGAATGGTTGGAACCAGAAGAATACGAAAAACTTAAGAAGAAATGTGGAAACAACATTCCTCCGCTACTCTACTTCAACAAAGGTCTCTAAATAATATGGAAAAAGAAAGAAGACAATAATTAGTACAAGAATAGTAAATTCTTATAGGTGTTAACACAGGTATAGCTTTCAAGAAAAGTATACGTACTTTTGAGTCAGGTCGAAATCTCTTTATTAATTTTAATTTGAAAACAATTCATGTGATTAATTATAGACACAGTAATATGATTTTATTTCTTTTAAGGTAATAATTTAAGCAATAATTTATTGACTATTGTGGATTTTATTGTTGAAATTGTGTTGTTTAACAAAAAAAATTTTGAAATAAGTATAAAGCAATTTTAATTTATTTGTAGTATAGAATATTATAATGATGTGTATAAAAAGGACAATAATAACACAAAAACCTCGAAATGGCAGTCACAATAACAATATATACACTTTAACACTATACAATAAAATTTTTAACATTAACAAATGCCTGCACACCGTATTAAATAAACATTTGAGAACGAATTTGTGTCATTTGTGTTTGGACGATTCAAGTAAGAGCGAGGCATCGCACATCATCCTTGCGTTGCTTCTCACCAAGAAGAACAGATGGCATTCCTCGTAGACGGTGAGTTGTACGCGTGCGCAGACGAGGCCATGGAGGACAGTGGCGCGTTGGAGGTCAAGCCAGCGTTGGAGAGCGAGTTCACGTTCGCGGATTGTGCTGCCAAGGGCGACGTCCGAGGGACCCCACAGACAAAACTCGAGGATGGACTTGACCTGAGTGAGGGTGACGGCGCGCTCGTTGTTGAGGAGAGATTGGAGGAGGGGGGTGGTTTTCGCAGTGGGTTGGAGGAGGGAGAGGGCTTTGGAGGCGCAGGTGCAGAGGGTGCCGTATTGGTCCGTGGGAGCGAGGTGGAGGTCTTCGCCGAGGCTGCAACAAATTTTTTATTGGTTTATTATTTACTTTACTCCCATGTGACATACAGGGTGTTTCAATGAAAACGAGCCACCCCGAATATCTGAGGGGGACATTTTTTGACGTAATTTTTAAAATATTCTTAGTAACCCGACGCTCCCCAACTTTAAAAATTTAAATGGCACTACCCTATTTGTGGCAAATTAAATGAAAGCTATTTTAGCATGGTTTTCAACTTAAGAACTATATTGCTATTTTTTAGATACTTACATTAAATTATAAGAAACGTTATTACCCCCTATCCTTTAGTCCGATTATTTTGACAATAAAATAAAGAAATAAAAATAAGTTTGTTACAGCTTCAATAATACTTATAACAATATTAGTATGCTTCTTGTAATTTATTTCAATAGTTTTTATTAGAAGTAATAATTACTAATTAGAAACATTATTTTTTGCGAATATCTTATGAATCCCATTCAACTTTAGAACAGAGGTTCAAAGAACATTTTAAAAACACTTTTATTTGATCTGTCACAAGTGAGTGGGTGTCATTTCAAATTTAGAAGTTGACATAGGAAAAGTTAAAGGTGATGCTTTTAAAATTTTGTCAAAAATGTCTTAAAAACAAAATTAACCTGTATAATTTTTCTGGATCGTTTTTATTAGAACACCCTGTATCTCATGAATGGATGGTCTGATTCAATTTTGGTAAAAATTTTTGAAAAGCTTGTTAAAATAGCTTTCATTTGATGTGCCACAAGTAGGGTATTTAAATTTTTACAATTTTACAATTACAATTACAGTTGAGGGTTTAATAAACCTATACAGGTGGTTTTAAGGTATGTGCAAATATTTTAACAGGTGATAGTAGAGCTCAAAAGAAGTCAAAATAACTCAACTTGTCTCATTCGATTGTTTTTAGTTTTTGAGATACAGGATGTTCAAAAAATCGCGCACTTCCGTGACACTGTCATCGGACGGTGCCCTCGACAACAAGAAATATGTTAAAAAAACTTGTTAAAAAAATTCTACCTCTAAAAATTCCGAAGTTATGAAAGTCTAAATTTTGCACTATGACTCTATTTATTTCTGTGGGAAAATAATTTTCCAAGTTTTTTTGCTACAGGCTATTAGAAGAGGAAACAAAGAAGCTGTATCCTAAATTGTAATTTTATTGACAAAATTTTTATACCTTTAGTAAATAATTATTAAAAAAACATATACAAGATCATCAGTATCATTAACTAGACTTAACAAAAAATGTCAAATGTCAAAAAATAAATGTCAAAATTTTTTGACAGATAGAAACATTTTTTCAGTACTCTGGGGGACTATCCAATTACTCCCTTTCAAGGAAGTGCGCGATTTTTTGAACACCCTGTATAAAAGGTTTTGTTTGTCGAATTAATTTAAATTTGGGATGCAGGCTTAAACTTCACCAACTCAAATTGTAAACAAATGTGACCTCTGAGGTTAGCTATTCAAAATCTGTTACATTGTTTAAAAGAAAAAGAGTTAAAATTTACAAAAACAGGCAACATTGGCCATTTTTTATTGTTGAATATATCTCCCAATTTAATTACATCAAATGTTACCGATTACTAGCAATGTGAATTTTGGGATAAAGTTCTCAACAGGTTCAAACTTCGTTTATATTGCTTTTTTTGTCAATTTTTCCGACGCCAATGTGGAGTTTAGTTATTTTAACTTCTTTTGAGTATCGGAATTTGTAATGAGATTTTCGAAAGAAAACTAATTTAAGTAGTGGATGAATAGTGCAGTTAGAAGCGCAAAATGTCGAATGCTGATGATCTACAATATTCCTCTCCAAAAATTGCTGAGCAGCCAAAAAGGCAAGAGAAACACATTATAGTAAAAGTAAAAACACTTAAGGAAAAAAAAAACAATTTTTACTCCATGGCTGAAAGATGAGACTTTTATTTGTGATATTTAATAATACAAACGTCATTTTTCTGACGTTTGCGGATAAATCAAATTTTAAACTACAAAAAAAAACAAAAAATTTAGACAAATCTAGCAAAAACTAGAATAAAAACATAACTTGATTTGAATCAAAGAGATGAAAACAAAAGACAAAATTCAACTCTCGATTTACACTATAACAATCAAAATAAACTTTTTCTTCTTCTAGGATCTTCTTGGTATGGAAACGATGAACAAAAACACGATTAGCCCGTCACACCAAACTTTTATTTTAATAGCACAACGCGTTTCGACCACAAAGTGGTCATCCTCAGGTGAGAATAAATTATTTTTCGTTTCGACCACAAAGTGGTCATCCTCAGGTGAGAATAAATTGAGAATAATTGAGTTTTATTCTCACCTGAGGATGACCACTTTGTGGTCGAAACGCGTTGTGCTATTAAAATAAAAGTTTGGTGTGACGGGCTAATCGTGTTTTTGTTAATCAAAATAAAAACTGTAGTCTTATTTGTTCATTGTTTGAATCCTTAGAAATAGACAAGTCAGAAGTTTTCATGCAACTGAATTTTCTACATTTACAAAAATTTAGATTCTCGATTCTTATTCTTATTTTTAAAACAGTAAGAAATAAAATAACTTCGACAGATACGTAGAGCATAAACAAGAATATTTTGTAAAAAATGTAAAATGTTAATTGAAATAACGTATGGTTCTAAAGTTTTAGGAATTTTTTAGATGGTTTTTATTTACACCAAATAAACAGGTTGTTCCTGGAAGTAAAATATGACAATTAGCTTGTTTATGTTATGGCAGTTTAGTTGTTTCAATTGGGTTTTCGAAAATGTCTTACAAGCTAGGCATTAGGCGAATGCCTAATCGTGAAATTGTTACAATGTCTAGTGTAGAAAATATTTCTTTAACAATAATTTATAGGACTATAATGAAATGTAAAGAGGGTATACCCTGTATTAATTTATCCAAAAGTGGTCGATCCAACATTTTAAGGTAACAAAGAATGATTGAAGCCGTTAAAAACGAAATTGGAGTTTCACAACAAAAATTAGATCGAAGATTCGCTGTTTCAAAAACCACTTATATTCAAAGATGTTTCTCTCGATTCGATGAAGTTTTAAAGACACATCATGCCAATAATGATGTAGTGTTTTGGACTAATTTGCCTTTATGCCACAATGGTAGAGAAGCTAAAAACTGACTTGACGAAAACAATGTAAATTTTGTACCTAAAATAGATGATCTTCCCAATATACCTCAGGTTCGATCAACTGAAGAGTTTTGGTCAATATTGAACAAGAAAGTGTATAATGAGAAAAAATTGCGGCGTTGAATGTTTTTTTTAAGCTCAGAGAAATTGATCCAGAGGAGAATGGGGCAAATCAGAAGAAAATTGAGAACCATTGAAGATAATGGCCCTCTATCAGTAAGTTGATTATGGATTATTTATTCTTGTTTATATTATCAATTGTTGTTTCATTTAGTTTAAAAAATAAAAGTTTTGACAAAATTATAAACATTTAAAAAAATTCCCAAAACTTTAGGGCCAAACGTTATAAAATAAAAAGAAATTGAATTGCAAAGTGAAAAATTACAATATTTCAACTACGTGTTCGTTATTAATAATGTTCGAAATATTTTTTCAGTAAATTTTTTCTTTGGAATTTTTGGATTTAAAAGCGTTAATTTTCAGAACTTAAAATAAATAATCGAAAAATAACGATCCTTACCCTTGCAAAACACACAATCTTAAGTGACTGTCCTTATCCATTTCTTTGCAAAGCACAAAACTGTTCAACGAGAGTGACAACTCCTCAATCCCTTGAGCTTGTAAAATCTTCAAGGCATTCACCAATTGCAACATGACAAAACTTGCATCTTTCCAGGCTTCTTCAAGCGTTTGTGTCCCCTTTTTCAGACTTTCTCCATACGACTGAATTGTACTGACTTGTAGCCACGGCAAAACGGCTACAGTGGCTACAAAGAAAAACAAATTTTTACCTAAAAAGCCAAGATTTAAAATTGCACACCTACCTTGAATCAACTTCTCCTCTTCACTCTCGTTCCCGACAAATTTCGCCGGTACCAAATCGCTGAATTCGGTAATAGTCATCAAACTACTGGTACCCAAAGTTAAGGTACTTGATGGTAACGCTCCGGTGTTGACTACAAGGGTTACGTGTTGGGTATTCCAAATCGCCTGATGGAAGGTTCTACAGCCGACGACCAGAGGTTGAGACGTGGATTTTACGGAAAAATCAGTCCATCGCAGATTGGAGAGTGTTTTCAGGCCTCTGAGTGCCGGTTGAATGTGAGTGGTTTGTTGGATCTGGAATTGGGGGAATTTAGATTCAAGTCGGAGAGGTTTTGGTACTACTGACGTTTTCCAAGACTTGTGCTAGAGCTTCGTGGTTGGCGACGATGACGGCCCCGTAGTTGTCTTCTAAGTTTTTGTGAACAATGCTTCGGCCTTTTCGGGAACGCAGTTTGTGAGTGCGGCCGTTTTGGATCCAGTCGTGGTCGTCTTCAGTCACCTGAAAGTCGAATATTCAACATTGTTTCCTTCAAAGGATTGAAATTTCATTTTTTATATAATCACTAATTTGTAAGCTTCTATAATAATTAATAATAATCAAAAGAATTAAATTATATAAATTATTGTAGAGTTAAAATAAGTAGGTACTTTGACCAATTATAATTTTACTCAAGGAGGTTGAATGAACGTCCTTGTTTTTACTAGATAGTTAGTTACTTTTTCGATTTTAAATTGGTTTCAACTTGTTGGTACATCCAGGGAAAAAACTATTCACCAGTCTAACTTTCTGCTAACACTGCGCTTTGTTGCAATAGTGTTTCCGACTAACTAGTTGGGGAGCAAGTAATATGTCGAAAAACCCTTATCTAGGAAGTTGGTCCGGACTCGAGGATACACGTTACTTCAAAACGGTCTTTTTCTGAAAATTTCTTTAATGAGTATAGATTATTAAATGGTGATTATAACAATTTGCAAAATGACACTAAGCAAATTTTAGAGAAAAAATGCATGCCCATGTATTTCATTACCTTAACAAAATTTTTGTGATTTACTTTTAATATTATTAACAAATAGCTAGTTTCTTCCGTTTTTTATATTTATTTTTATTACTTCTAAACAAAGCAAAAAACCCAAAGTGGTAAATTTATTGCCATAATAATAACTAATATTATACAGTATGTCCCCGGATTTTTTATTTTACGCTAACACTGCAAAAGAAAAACATTTTTTGCTTCACCTGATACCAGTAAGTCTGTAATTTTAAAAGTTTATTATTTTCACTCAGTGGAAAGAAAATTTAATTTTTCTCTTGATTTTGAGCTTCTAAACTAATAACACTATAGTCTACAAACAATAAGATGTTTAATATACCTTTAATCGAATTATTATTTTTATGTTAACTTACCTTTAATTAAAAAAAATAATTGTTAATTTTTTCTATAATGTCACCCTTTTTTTTGTTACAGACGATAATTTCCCTGTTTTCTGCACAAATGCCTACGATTTAAAATTTATTTAAATTCAAATTGTTGCTGAATTACTGCAACATTATTACTATATGGGTCTAAATAGGTCTTAAGAACATTTCACTCGCATTTGGGCTTCTTTTCTAAAAATTTAGGGAGCATGAGTGACAATCAAGACGAGCGTTTTCATCAAGATCTGAAGGGTTTTCAAAGATAGACACGAAGATTTTTGGGATGAAAAAAATATATTAGTAGATTACTGTTCGATTGTTATAAAGAAAACTGATCCAAAAAGTATAATAAAACCAAGTAAAATAACTCACTTTTAATATGTATTTTGGCGGTTTTTTGTATTTTTGTTAATTACCTACTTCTTAAACGTAACGTGGTGGACTTTTTCAAATAGTTTTTTTTTGAACTCAGTGCCTCAAAATCTATAAGAAATTAACTTTCATCTAAGGTATAAAAATCGTGTAAACTAGTGTAATTTTTTATCTGCGTTTTAAATCTCATCACATTGGCGTTTTATTTTTTTGACAACGATGTCGTTTTGCAGATGAGTTAACGCAAGTTAAATAACAAAAATTTTTGTAAAAAAACATAATTTTAATAAATGGCAAATCAAAAAAACAGCTTCTAAAAAAAAAGTCAGTTTTAACAAAAACAATCATTATTCAATTAATTAATTACTTATCAAAGTGACATCGTTGTCAAAAAAATAAAATCGCCAATGGTATGAGACTTGTAAAGCAAAGAAAGATTATTATTACAAGTCCAAAAGTAAGAAAAACATTAACTATTCTTTCCACTGAGTCAAAATAATGAAGTTTTGATTACAGATTTGCTCGTTTCAGATAAAGCAAAAACAACCCTTGCTGTTAAAGTGTTAATTTATCTACTCAAAAGAGTTTTCAAAGAAATAGTTTAACATCTACTATAGAAATTGGCGTAAAATCAAAGGTAAAAATTTGTTTCCTTTTGAGTGGCTATTATCAAATGTATTATTAAGTTCAGAATTTTGATTATAAAGAAATAACTTGATAGAAATTGGCAAAATACACAGTTTATTAAAAAATTCTGGCATTTAAAACTAGTCCTACAATCTTGATTTTTGAAAGCTGTAAATAAAGAACCTTAAAAGTCAAGTCAAGCTAAAAATGTTTTTTCTTTGCAGTTTTGGCGTAAAATCAAAGGTAAAAATTTTTTTCCTCTTGTAAACTTAATCCGGGAACATACTGTATACTTGCAAAATACATTTCTTAAATAAATTTATGTATTTGTAATTTGATAATTTTGAGCAAGCTTGTTTATTATAATTACAATGTAATGTATACGTTATTTATAATCTATGCTCATTGAAGTAATTTTCACAAAAAGACAGTTTTCGGGTCCGGACCAGCTTACTAAATAAGGGTTTTTCGACATATTACCTGCTCTCCAACTAGTTAGTCTGAAACGCTATTGCGACAAAGCGCAGCCCGAGTACAAAGTTAGACTGATGAATAGTTTTTTCCCCGGGTGTACTAAAAGCAAAATGGTCTTTGATCTACTCGTCTTTATGTTGATATTTAACTATAACACTCACCTCTGATTCGCTCCCATAAAAGCTATACGGCGAATAAATCTCCGACTCCGTCTCACTCCCACAATATGTCAAAGACACTGACCTCGGAATATTCCCATACTTGAAATACTCCCCTGATACATCAATACTACTCTCTGACCTCTTACTCAACCTCGCAGTCTTACTCGTAGGACTGTTTTTATTCGGACTAGAATCAGAATCGGGCGAACTTGACCTCCCACTGATATAATCATAAACATTCTCTCCTCCATCCACAGACTCATAATTCTTCTTCTCCTGAGCCTCCCTCTCACGCATACTCGCCGTTCTTTGGGGCTTATTCGGAACAATCGCAGACCGTACTTCCCCTATATTCGCATACACTGTCTCTGTTTTTTTCGTAGGGACTCCCCCGGAGTACTGTTTCTGCTTACTAAGCACATCTATGGATTTTGGAGGATGGGGGAGCGGTTTATATGACCCCAAATCGTCACGTGGGGGCGGTGGTGGTTTTTTCGGTACGAAACTCTCATAGTCGTTACCATCAGAATACCGGATGTTCTGGTAGTCACCCTTGGGTACCACTTCGACTCTAGCCCCGTTCAATTCCGAGGGATGCACGATAACCAGCCTTGGTTTAGGCAAAGGAGGCCCATCCAGTTCCTCCCCTCCCTTCAAATCGACCTTACTCGACCCCCTCCGAAGAAACTTCTTTAGCGAAAACCTCCCCTTCTTCCTTTTATCTTCACTTGCTAAACTATCAGTCGAAACCGAGAGGAATTTCCGAGGGGCGGGTTCAGGAACTTCGGGTGGTTTCGGCGCTTTTCGTTTATTGATAACACGTGACCCGGTATCCGAACCTGTCGAATTTTGTTTAGCCAAAACCGGTTTGGCGGGGATTTTGGGTTTGTCGTAGAGGACAGTAGGCGGGTCGAGGGCAGGGGGAGGAGTCAAGGGCAGGGCGGGAGGTTCGGTTACTGTATCAGGGTCGGCTCGGCCGTCGGGCTCGCCGGCTTGCTCCCGACTCGATTTGGGAGGAGGGGGTGGTACGACGGTGGCGGGGGGTGGAGGTGTGGTTTTCAAGTCGATTTTAGACTTGTTTTTGTTGTTAAGTAGTTCGATTTTGGCAGTGGACGTTTGGTAAATTATGGGTTTTTCGTGGTCGCGTTTTAAAGCAGGAGTGCGAGAAAGAGTACTTTTACGCTCGGGTTTGTTTTCGTCTTTAGAGACACTCAAAATGATCTCTTTTTGAGTTTTCTTGCGACTCATGATTTGAATTGGATTTTTTCCGCTTTCCAGAGTCTCAGTTATTTCATCCAACAAAGATTTTTCTTTTTTATCTTCATTTTTCGTATAAGAAGTCAAGACAACATTAGTTTGTTTCGTCTCAGGAACATTCTCTTTCAATTTTAAACTTTTGATGATTTTTTTAGGTTGAGTGTCTTCACCAAATGGTGTAACCGAAACTAGTAGGGTTTGTTTACGTCCAGAGGAGTCAACTAGTGGTTTTCCCAATAAAAGTTGGCTTGTTTTCTTCACAATGACCTCATCTTTCAAATTATTCGTATTAAAATCAGTGTTTTCTTTCGTTATCCTTTTCAGTTCTCTTTCTTCTTCTTCCTCGGATTCGGCAATAAAGTCCTCTTCACTGGACGACAAATCATCATCTCTACAATCCTCCCCCTCGGACTCCCAATCTTCACCCCCAAAACCGATAATCTCCGTCAATTCTTTCATAAAACAAACCGTCCTTTTCGGTCGAAACTTTGCCGAATTTCTAATGATTCCTTCGACCTTTTCGCTGGAAATCAACGTGATTGGTTTGGGTTTTGGCGGTTCTGCATGTTCGTCCTTTGATTTGAAGCAATTCGAACAAAGTTCTTTCTTCCAAGCATTTTGGACGAAATTTTGACAGATAGCTGAAGACATGATGGTCAGTTTCTGAAAAAATTAGTTCAATTCGACTTTTACTCGTTTATAAATTGAGATTGTGAATTCTTGTACCGGTTTGATGACCTAAATGGTCACTTGATGAGTGGTCAAGCTGGCCACCTGGCACAATTAAAACATTGGGACAAATTGGAGTGAATGAAGAGGAATGTGACAAATGGACTAACTTGGGGTTTTGATAGGAATTTAGATTAATTTCACTTTTAGTTCGAATGGGTGTTTGAAAAAATTCCAATGGCATTGACATTGGGAAAATTATACCGGAATCAAATCGAAATTGACACACCTACAGACCATGACGCGAATTATAAAATTACGGAAAAAAATAAAAGAAAATAAGTTTAAATTATGTAAGACCGTTTTTTGGAGCTGATTAAAATCTAGGTTAAATAAAAAGCAAAAATTTTCCGTCTACAACACAAGTAAAATTAATTACCATTTTTGTATCCCATATTAAAAAGAAAGTTGCAGAAATAGAAACATTAAATATTATATGCTGTTATACTGATTAGAGGTTTGAAAAATTCTTCGCTTGTTTATTTATACTGCAATAAAAGTTTGAACCAGAATTGTTGCAAATGAGTGAGTTTTACTATGAAGGCTAAGACAGTAATGATTTTGCAGTTAACAACATGTTTTGAATTTCAGTGACTATTCAATTCACCTCTCTTTTTTAAAATATTATGACTATGACAACGAAATCATGTGTATCGCAAATTTGCCATTTGGTTCATTGAATAGTCTGGTGAATACCATTCGTAGTCAAAGATTGTAGAATATTTTTATTCATGCTGCGCACTCATGGTAATCATAAGCGAATGACCATTCATAAAAATATTCGACAATTTTTGACTACTCGTGATATTATAACTGAAAATAATTTTGAATTGATATTATTTTTCTTTTGTTATTAGAATTTTATGTAAAAATAATTTAATTCTAGTAGTTTTTATTTGTGATTTTTTTATCAAAATGTCTTTTAATCTGTTTTCTGGTCTTACTATTTCCTAGATTTGTTATCACTCAACTAAAAAGATAT